AGCGATCGGTGTTAAGTTTCGTATCTTCCGTTGTTGACCCCATAGGTCTCGTACCGCCCTATACAGTAAGAGCGCAATTTTTGTTGAAAGAAATCTGGCGCACTCACGGCCAACAATGGGATGATACAAGTCTATTGAAAAACGGCGAGTGGCCTTTCAAGCCGAGCATAGAAGTACTTGAAAAGATCCGTCTGGCTGGTCCCGTGTGGGAACTTAATGAGGACTTAGAGCAGGCCTCTACTTTTAAAACGTTCTTCAAAAACAACCCATTTTATTTGCATGGGCAGAAGTCACCTGCTTTCGTAGACTCCAGCGAGTGCTTGCCTTCATGCTCAGACTGAGTCCAAAATACCGACATTACCGCTTTAAAGTCAAGCGATCTGGTTGCACTAGAAACCGCCAGTCAACGACTTTTGTTGCTTTTCCAAAAAGAAGCATTTGAGGCGGAAAACTTACTCCTGTCCAGCAAAAAAACCGTCAAAATGTCTAGCCGTATCGCTCACTATGCACTATTTATTGGTCTTGCATGCCTTATTTGTTCAACAGGTTGAATTCGCTACCTATTAAAAACTGAACATGACACAGAACACCCAATCATCCTTGATGAAAGACTTACTCTCGTGAAATTGATTGTAAGTGATATTCAGTATCGTTATAAGCACCAGTTTTAACACTATCTGCCATCTGTAATTCACTTAGCGTTTGCAATCTTCAACCTTCGCTTGTTGTTAAAGTCCAATGAAACCCACTGCATTACATGTAGGAAGCGCAAAGCCAAAACTATCACACCTATGATGGCAGAGCTTCCAGTTGAGAGTCTTGGTTACCGCCAACCTCCCTTCACAAATTGTGGGTTTGATTATTTTGGATCTTTTTACGTCTCAATCAGGAGGAGTTCTGAGAAGCCATGGTGCTTCCTTTTCACATGTATGCACACAAGGGCTATACATATTGAGATTGTCTCATCCATTGACACGAGTTCATGTGTAATGGGAATCGAAAGATTCGTTGCCCGTCGCGGCACTCCATCAGTCATTTGGTCCGATAACGGCACCAACTTTGTGAAAGCCGAAAAAAAACTCCTGAATTGCATTCAGTCGTGGAACGCACAAGCACCCGCAGAGATAGCGAGAAAGGATATTATATGGAAGCTTAACTCACCGGCAGCCCCGCATCACGGTGGTTCATTGGAACGTCTCGTTCGGTGTTGTAAAAAGGTATTCAATGCATTAATAGGAAATGGAAAACTCACTACCGAAAATCTTGAAATAACTGTCTCGTAGAAAAATGACCGTACGCTCGCCCTATAACATCAGTAAGTGCAAGTCCCGATATCTTTGAGGTGTTAACTACTAATCACTTTTTAGGCCGAAATGGTACTAGCTTTTTTTCTCTCTTTCCAGGAGCACTTCGACCATCAAAAGCAATATTTATAAGCGCAAAGCTACGCCAACGCAATTTGGAGTCGTTGGCCTCGAGATTGTGCCAACCCTGAAAAACACAGCAAGTGGCACTCCGATAGTGACGCTATTTTAAAAACAGGGGATTTAGATTGGATTGTTGACGAAATCAGCCCTCAATTACGGGAAAGACAATATAACCCGATCCGCCGTAGTCATGACCCGTTCCGGGGAACTAACGCGACCGGTCGTACAACTCGCACCCGTTTTCTCTCCTTTGGGGTCAGAGGATGATCCCGCTTAAAGTAATGACGTCATATGACGCGAACGTTGAGAAGCTAAAATGAGATTTTCCAAGCCAAACAAAAGGCCTTGAAATTACTGGTCTGTTCGATTAAGGTCAGTTTGCCATCAAAAAAATTAGATTTTTGAGATGATTGAGAACAAGTTTGAATTCATGTCAACCGGAAAATGATTTTTTTTCAGATGATATTTATTTCATGTTAATCTGTTTAAAATTGCCAATATATTTACAGATGTTGAAGCAGGTTTTTTAGACCGAGTCTTATAGGATACGAGAGTGCATCACAGCACTGCTTTTTTAAATAAATAATTATTTTCGTTTCATTTGATGAATTAACGATCCAACAATTGTTAACTTATTGCTATTCGATGTCAAAGCAAATTCTAGCAAAAAGCTGTAAAAATGCCCAAAAAAGGCACCAATATTTGTGATTTAAGTTGGAAAAAAAGAAAGTTCGTACTTATACACTTTGCTTCGCAAGTGTAAAAAGATCTTGAGTGTAACGCTCCTCCGGTGCTTTTCATAAAAACCACTTATAATGGAAAAAATATATGCTTCCTTAGGGTGTACTCTGACAGCATTCATTTACATATTGGTAATTTCAAAGTATTTAATTAAGTTTTTTCTTCCATTCAAACTTTGAAACTTAGCCAACTTACAGTGGGAAAAAACTAATGAACGCAAGTAACAAAAAACACTGTCTTTTAATGAAAAAATCTCAACTTTCGAATTTCAAAGAAAAAAATAGACACCCTTTAAGCTCTTTGAATTTCTAGAACAACTTATGATTGCCCCTTTTCTGATAACAAAAACCCAACTTGAGAAAACTGGATCAATCAGTAAAGTTTTTATTCCGTCGGGAAATCTTGAAAATGAATTCCTTTCGAAACGTGTTTTTGCACTCACATTTTTTGGAGAAGAGTTTTACGTCACTTTCAGCAGATGAATTTCGATTGAACTCAAAAAGTGCAAACATACCTAAGTGCATTGATAAATGCATCAATATGTACGTCTGTAGTTATTGGAGACTTTTATGCTCAATTAAAGACAAAAAACCCCCAAAAAATCATTTAGACCTATACAAAAGTCTTCACTACGTTCATTACTCTTAAAATGAAATCCTCTGCCAAAGAGATTCGAATAATCAAAATCGCACTTCTTCGAAAACTTTGTATTGAAAGAAAATTTAGCGTAAAAAGTTTTATTTGTTTTTGAATACCTCTTTTCAAAAAATCTTACATTTCCATGCACGTTATCAAGTGGTGCAGCAAGTGTTGAGCTACAACAGATGTTAAGTTTAGTTGCGAATCTACTCCAAAAAAATGAATCCTCAATTCGTGCTAGTCTTATAAATGTCCACAGAAAAAAATGTATAAACTGTCCTTTGTCAAAATTTCGAAAGTTTTAAGATTTGAGCCTTAACATATTTCCACTGAATGACGTAACGCAAAGCCGACATCTCTTAGCGCCTTAAAAAAGCAAAACATTCTTTCCTCTTTTATAATTAGTTGCGATTTCTCCATAAAAACATAAGCAACAGACCGTTGGAAAAAAGTCAAAGAACGCAAGGAAAAAAATCGAATTCCAAGCAAAAAATATATGACCCTAAAACTCTTTGAGTCTCAAGAGCAAGTTATGATTTAGCACTTTGTTGATAAAATTAACACAAGTTGAGAAAACTGGATTATTAGGAAAAGTTTTTAATCAGCTCTGAAAACGAAAATTAACTTCCCTTTTCAAAACTAGAAATCGATCACTTTGTTGTTTCGCGCCATTTCAGCCTTTAAAATTAGCGAATGCATTCTTCATGCCTTCTAGCAAATTAACTCAAAAAAGCATATAGACTTTAAGGCATCCATGAGTGCATTTATAAGTAAGACTGCGCTTCTTCTGTTTTCGAAGCATTTTTCCTGGAAAAAAAATATCATCACAATCTTTATAAATGTCTGAACTACGTTCATCGACTCTTAATTACTTAATTGAATGAAAAATAAAAAAGGAAGACCAATTAGCTTTTTATGGTGCTACGGTTGGCAAGGTGTTTGGGCATCTAGTTGCAAGATATGACTTTTTACAGCAACTTTAAAAGTTTTTCTGACAAAATAGAATTTAATTAAACAAACTTAAAAAAATTGAATAGAAAAAATTTAACCAAGGTTTTGTTAAATGTTACTTGAATTGGGTAAGCTCTTAGGGGAGTTAAATAATTCGTTTTCGATCCTCTCGAAAAAGAAAGTATCTGTTTGCTTTTGATTTAATGTTCTGTACTTTGTTAGCAGAAACAAATTATTTCTTTGCAAAAAAATGTGCTCACATTAGGAATTAGTTTGGGACGTTTGAAACGTAAGTTAAGCCACGGTAGAAATCAAACATTCACTCTTTTTACCTTTCGATTCATCGGCTAGAAAGAATTCAGAAAAAAGTTATCAAACTATTTTGGTGAAATTGAAAGTCAAGCTGAAACTGAAACTCAAACGCACCTTACTGTCTTTGCCCTTGTCCTTCTTGAAAGACATTGGAAATCCGTAAACTTTTTACAGCAATTTTAAAAGTTTTTCTGACAAAATAGAACTTAATTAAACAAACTTAAAAAAAATGAATAGAAAAAATTTAACCAAGGTTTTGCTAAACGTTACTTGAATTGGGTAAGCTCTTAGGGGAGTTTAATAATTCTTTTTCGATCCTCTCTTCATTTAGATGTCATTGATAATGACATTTGCCTAAAGTATCTGTTTGCTTTTGATTTAATGTTGTGTACTTTGTTAGAAGAAATAAATTATTTCTTTGCAAAAAAAATGTGCTCACATTAGGAATTAGTTTGGGACGTTTACCTTTCGATTCATCGGCTAGAAAGAATTCAGAAAAATCTTATCAAACTATTTTGGTGAAATTGAAAGTCAAGTAGTGAAACTGAAACTCAAACGCATCTTACTGTCTTTGCCCTTGTCCTTCTTGAAAGACATTGGAAATCCGTAAACTTTTTACAGCAACTTTGAAAGTTTTTCTGACAAAATAGAATTTAATTAAACAAACTTAAAAAAATTGAATAGAAAAAATTTAACCAAGGTTTTGTTAAATGTTACTTGAATTGGGTAAGCTCTTAGGGGAGTTAAATAATTCGTTTTCGATCCTCTCGAAAAAGAAAGTATCTGTTTGCTTTTGATTTAATGTTCTGTACTTTGTTAGCAGAAATAAATTATTTCTTTGCAAAAAAATGTGCTCACATTAGGAATTAGTTTGGGACGTTTGAAACGTAAGTTAAGCCACGGTAGAAATCAAACATTCACTCTTTTTACCTTTCGATTCATCGGCTAGAAAGAATTCAGAAAAAAGTTATCAAACTATTTTGGTGAAATTGAAAGTCAAGCTGAAACTGAAACTCAAACGCACCTTACTGTCTTTGCCCTTGTCCTTCTTGAAAGACATTGGAAATCCGTAAACTTTTTACAGCAATTTTAAAAGTTTTTCTGACAAAATAGAACTTAATTAAACAAACTTAAAAAAAATGAATAGAAAAAATTTAACCAAGGTTTTGCTAAACGTTACTTGAATTGGGTAAGCTCTTAGGGGAGTTTAATAATTATTTTTCGATCCTCTCTTCATTTAAATGTCATTGATAATGACATTTGCCTAAAGTATCTGTTTGCTTTTGATTTAATGTTGTGTACTTTGTTAGAAGAAATAAATTATTTCTTTGCAAAAAAAATGTGCTCACATTAGGAATTAGTTTGGGACGTTTGAAACATAAGTTAAGCCACGGTAGAAATCACACATTCAATCTTTTTACCTTTCGATTCATCGGCTAGAAAGAATTCAGAAAAATCTTATCAAACTATTTTGGTGAAATTGAAAGTCAAGTAGTGAAACTGAAACTCAAACGCATCTTACTGTCTTTGCCCTTGTCCTTCTTGAAAGACATTGGAAATCCGTAAACTTTTTACAGCAACTTTAAAAGTTTTTCTGACAAAATAGAATTTAATTAAACAAACTTAAAAAAATTGAATAGAAAAAATTTAACCAAGGTTTTGTTAAATGTTACTTGAATTGGGTAAGCTCTTAGGGGAGTTAAATAATTCGTTTTCGATCCTCTCGAAAAAGAAAGAATCTGTTTGCTTTTGATTTAATGTTCTGTACTTTGTTAGCAGAAATAAATTATTTCTTTGCAAAAAAATGTGCTCACATTAGGAATTAGTTTGGGACGTTTGAAACGTAAGTTAAGCCACGGTAGAAATCAAACATTCACTCTTTTTACCTTTCGATTCATCGGCTAGAAAGAATTCAGAAAAAAGTTATCAAACTATTTTGGTGAAATTGAAAGTCAAGCTGAAACTGAAACTCAAACGCACCTTACTGTCTTTGCCCTTGTCCTTCTTGAAAGACATTGGAAATCCGTAAACTTTTTACAGCAATTTTAAAAGTTTTTCTGACAAAATAGAACTTAATTAAACAAACTTAAAAAAAATGAATAGAAAAAATTTAACCAAGGTTTTGCTAAACGTTACTTGAATTGGGTAAGCTCTTAGGGGAGTTTAATAATTATTTTTCGATCCTCTCTTCATTTAAATGTCATTGATAATGACATTTGCCTAAAGTATCTGTTTGCTTTTGATTTAATGTTGTGTACTTTGTTAGAAGAAATAAATTATTTCTTTGCAAAAAAAATGTGCTCACATTAGGAATTAGTTTGGGACGTTTGAAACATAAGTTAAGCCACGGTAGAAATCACACATTCAATCTTTTTACCTTTCGATTCATCGGCTAGAAAGAATTCAGAAAAATCTTATCAAACTATTTTGGTGAAATTGAAAGTCAAGTAGTGAAACTGAAACTCAAACGCATCTTACTGTCTTTGCCCTTGTCCTTCTTGAAAGACATTGGAAATCCGTAAACTTTTTACAGCAACTTTAAAAGTTTTTCTGACAAAATAGAATTTAATTAAACAAACTTAAAAAAATTGAATAGAAAAAATTTAACCAAGGTTTTGTTAAATGTTACTTGAATTGGGTAAGCTCTTAGGGGAGTTAAATAATTCGTTTTCGATCCTCTCGAAAAAGAAAGAATCTGTTTGCTTTTGATTTAATGTTCTGTACTTTGTTAGCAGAAATAAATTATTTCTTTGCAAAAAAATGTGCTCACATTAGGAATTAGTTTGGGACGTTTGAAACGTAAGTTAAGCCACGGTAGAAATCAAACATTCACTCTTTTTACCTTTCGATTCATCGGCTAGAAAGAATTCAGAAAAAAGTTATCAAACTATTTTGGTGAAATTGAAAGTCAAGCTGAAACTGAAACTCAAACGCACCTTACTGTCTTTGCCCTTGTCCTTCTTGAAAGACATTGGAAAGCCGTAAACTTTTTACAGCAATTTTAAAAGTTTTTCTGACAAAATAGAACTTAATTAAACAAACTTAAAAAAAATGAATAGAAAAAATTTAACCAAGGTTTTGCTAAACGTTACTTGAATTGGGTAAGCTCTTAGGGGAGTTTAATAATTCTTTTTCGATCCTCTCTTCATTGAAATGTCATTGATAATGACATTTGCCTAAAGTATCTGTTTGCTTTTGATTTAATGTTGTGTACTTTGTTAGAAGAAATAAATTATTTCTTTGCAAAAAAAATGTGCTCACATTAGGAATTAGTTTGGGACGTTTGAAACATAAGTTAAGCCACGGTAGAAATCACACATTCAATCTTTTTACCTTTCGATTCATCGGCTAGAAAGAATTCAGAAAAATCTTATCAAACTATTTTGGTGAAATTGAAAGTCAAGTAGTGAAACTGAAACTCAAACGCATCTTACTGTCTTTGCCCTTGTCCTTCTTGGACTGAGAATCAGCCTCATCTTCATCCTCCTTTTCATCTTTGTCTTTCTTCTTTTTGTCTTTCTTGTCCTTGTCGTCTTTTTTCTTCTTCTGTTTATCTTAAAACATGGACATATAGAATGTGGGTAAAAACATGCACAAAGATATTTTGACACTATCGCAAGCACAAGCAATAACATCACATTAACGCTAGCGGAAACCAATTACTTCTGCCCTTTCACAGATCATTTTCAATTATGACTAAAACGATGTGAAAATTTCAAAATTTGAAGAGAAAAAAATGAAACACATAGGCCAAGTGGAGCTTCGCACCACTAGCGATACAACACAATCATTAAAAATGTCAAAAAACGAAAAATATGGAAAAAAACTAGATAAACCAAAATGAAGGACACCTAGGGCCCAGCTAAAGCTGAAGGCATGTGTCTGACTTTATGAATTTATTCATATTGATGCGGGACGAAATTCGTAATTTCAGAAATTAGACTTCACCCAAAACCTTAGTTGTTTTTTTTTTAAGTAAAATAAGTGAGAAGAGTGAAAATTTTTGAGATTGTGGAATTTTCCCATAGACATAACAATTCTCGTACAAAAAATTAAGGAGTAACATAGAAGAAACTGTTGTAAAACTAAGCTTCCAACAACCTGTTGTGTCGATTAAATCTATGATAGCAGATTTGACAGGCTAGTTATCGAGACAATTGCAAGAAACGGTCAACAAATCATAAAGTTGACATTTCCGAACATCATAGCTATTTATTACAAAAAATTTGGACAAAGCTGTTTATGCAGAAGAGATTCGCCCAAACTTTAACTCCGATTGAACCTGAAAAACCGGAAAAATTAAAGATTCAAAAAACGGTCAAAACAATCAAGAACTTCACAATTACGAGGGCCATAATTTTATGAGTAAAAAAGTTTGGGTGCACTCGCTAATGGGGGGGGGGTCTTGCAAGTCCATTCTATTCATTGGAACGAATATATCACATTTGGTGGGTTAATTTTTGAGAAAACGAGAAAAAAAATATCGGTCAAATATTCCCCCAAAGGTTTTTTCAAAGGCTGTAGACAAAAAGGTAAAGCAACAAGAGAACAGTGGAGTATGCAGACACACAAGAGTTAAGGCACTCTTTCTATTAACACACCCTTATTCAAAAAAATCGGTAGAAGGGTTTTGCAAAAAGGGATCAAATTTTTGCGAAGCGTTTCAAATAAAAAAAAAATGAGCAACCCATCCCATACAATTTCATGAAACCTGTATTTATAAAACAGGAACTCTAGGCAAACATGCCAAGCAAAAATATTGAAATTAAAATTAGCAACTCAACAATATTTACGAAGCGGAAACAAGGTCGACAATCTTTGAGCAGGCACCAGTTGACCCGGAAAAAAACAGTGTTGTACTTCAACTAGCCCACTGAAACTGTCCTGTAGTAACTAGTACCCATCCAGTAGTTGAAATTGAATTTTCGTGGATTTGAGCATCTCAGCTGCCTTGTGATTATTTAGTGTAACAAAGCCGAAAATGCCTGAGCATAAACCCTTCAAGACGAAAAAAATATATTCAAATTAATTTCAGAACACACACATGCACACAAAATTTTTTTCGAACTTCAAATGACGCTAAATGAAACTAGTAATTCCATGTAAAAACCGAAACCAATTAAACGAGAAAAAAAAACGAACATTTAATAAATCGAGTTGGTAATATTACAACCAATGTAAAATTAAATTTCGATTCGACCGGATCTTTGAAATGTTGAAAATCTCAGGGCATCTACAATGGAAATAGTTTACAGCAAAAAAAAAAACGACTGAGATGTGGCAACTAAGACGACAAAACATAAGCTGACAAATATTAGACCGACAATTTAATTTGAAACGGAAAATTTCCTTTTGAAAGAAAAAACAGGTCCTGGTCAGGTTCGAGGTCCCAGGCATATTCGTTACCTACAGACTATAAGATGGCAAGACAGCCTAGACGTTTGAATTCATTATGAGCCGAATTACAAGTTATTTACTTGATTTTGTTAAATTAGTTGTTAGCCCAAAGAAAAAGGTCTACATTCTATTTTATTAACGCTTACTCATCGCAATAATTTTCAGATTTTTGAATAACTAACCCGCACGCCCTGTGTAAAACACAAAAAGATGTGATTCTCGTCTAAATAAGTCATAAGAATAGATAGTTTCTCGATTCAGGTTGTAAACACTTATGAGCCAATTATTTCACCGGTTACACAGCAGAGCAAAAGATATCGCAAGTAATTACCCCCAAATTGGCAAAAAATAATTTTTGCACATGCAAGAACACGTCAAAAAGCAGCTATATAAAGACCATTCATTACAATTAGAAATAAGCCTCGAATTAGTAAAAAAAAAATCTGCTACCTCTGAGATTTGTACCTGCGACCTAGAGATTAAGAGTCTCACTCTCTAACCGCTCAGCCACGGAATCTTACTAACAATCAAACTACTACTCCTTATCATAATCAAACACTAGCCACAAATAACATAAATAAATCAGAGAAGTAATGCTATGTAATTTCCAATGCTACAAAAAAATTTATATATAAGTGAACACGATTATTTGCGAGTTACGTTAAAAAAAATAGGATCGTAACAAAACACAATGCTGACGCAAGTGTAAAGATCTGCTTAGCAATACAAACTTAACAAAATTGGTATTTTTCAGTTGATACAAAATATCTCGATAATTAACTTGAAAAAAAAAACGAATCTATCATACACAGATATCTAATGCAAGAAAATGCAATTGTAAGTAGAAGAATGAATAAGAGACAGATGTGGCCGCGCTCAACTCAAAACCCGAAAACGTCTCAACAAACGATGTCAAAAATATAATTCATTAAATTAATTCGGGAAACGGCATACAGAGCAGAATTAGTCGATATACGTATAAAAATCGTTTTGCAAAACCGACACATCCATGGCTAGAACGTGTTAAAAGTACCAGTGTTTTGTGATACACGACCAGACAGGGTCATTTTTCTATGGGTTATGGTTAATTTTAGTTAAATACACATTGTGATTCTGGTCAAAAAACAGTTTTTTATAGGTCTCGAGACTACGCCGAACCGGTCTGCTCAACTTTTAGGCTTTGTTCTAGACCGTTGGCCAACCTGTCATAATTTTGTTCAATTTACTCGCTTTTATATTCTCGCTTATGAAAAGTTATTTTGTAGGTGAGGAAGGGCGCGAGTTTTACTGCCAGAAAGGTAGTGTCAACAGTCAATTTTTTTATAAGAGGGGATCGGGCTACTCCGTCTTTTCCGAAGTTAAGTGTTCTAATGCGGGCTAACGAATAGTAACCTCGGCGGTTGGCTAAATTACCACTTTCCACACTAAATTAACAGTCTTGAGTTTCCGTTTCGGAGAAGAGTGCCACTTAACTCGCTTATTGAGACCTGGCATAAAGTCAGCAAGCCATTGTGGCCATATTGCATTTGTATATGCCTGCGCACGCACAAACAACCTACTATGGTTGAACTCCTCTTCGAATCTCAGGGAAGGAAATGTCGCACATGGCTGCCTAAGCAGGAAATAGTTAGGCGTAAAAGCCTCCAAACTATCTAGGTGGCGCACTAGGTCGATTGTATTTCCACTTTATGCATTTATCCCATTCCAACAGCTTCTCGACGCCCAACAAATTTGCGCCATTAACCGACCAGATGACAGACAGAGTTCCTCGGCGGGCGATGAACCTCTCAATACCCATGACGCACAAATTATTATCCCTAGAAAATAGAATGTACAGTTTCCATATGCCACACTCTTATCGTCATGCAATTTAAGAGAAATCCCCGCCGCTTCTGAGCTCATACGGACAGATACATAAAATGGACCAAAATAGTCATTTCCGCAGTACCCAAAAGCTGGTTTTCGGTTTCTTTAACGTTCTAGAGAGAGATCCGCCATCATGGGGTAGACACATTTAGCTTTGCACTTTCGACTTCACGAAGGATTGATCTGGTTCAAGATGGCGAATCAAACTTAAATGACGGCACTCATATAAGGACTGACTATGATACGTGAGATGAAAAGAAAACGAAAAGTTTAACCAGATGGTGACGACCATCTAGTATCACAGGATGTTTCGCTTCGAAACTGGTTACAAAAAGACGCCGAATGCAATCAGTTGAGCGTAAAGACCATTTGTTCCTATGAATGGCGAATATACGGCTATGCGACTCGACCTCTTTACGGATTTGTCGCTGTCGAGCATTTGGATTTCTGCCAGGAAAAATTAATTTGAAGGAGCTGAAGAGTCGATTTCAAATCTATCAGACGAAAAGGCGCGTATCTAGGGATTAACCTTACTCAAAGCTGCTATGCTCAAGAGCTGAACGTTTCCTAGTTGAAGATACGTTTATAGGCTCTCACATCTGATTTCCTATTAGGCTGGGAGACTCCAACAACATCGACAGTTGATTCTTTAATTCGTATTTACAAGATTTACACATGGCCAGACAAAATTTTCAAGAAAATCGGTTCCCTGACCCAACAGTTTTTACAAAGCGCTGCGGCTGCAATCCCATATGTACTTGTGTCTGATTATTAACACCGGTTGCTACGTGGTAGTCCTCATCAACAGTTGTTGCTTCTAAGATCTCGCCAACTCTATTGGCTACCAAGACAGGCTCCTTTTCAACTGTGCGAAAAAAATGCGGTTTTTTGCCTTACCGGTGACCCGAGTTTTCAAGTAAGTAAGCTTTCTATCGTGGGTCAAGTGTACGGAATCCATTACGCTTCTCAACTGCCCCAACCACTCGTGCCATGCTGAAGGATCGCCACTAAAGCGGACAATTTTCCTTCAGGTATTGTGTAATTCCTATTCATGGAAAAAACGGCGTCTAAGCATTCACGAGTTACATGCTTCGATGGCGAAAAAGACAGGTCAGTGCAGTCTCCTGAAATTGCGCAGACTGGATTTTGAGTAGGCTGCTGAAAGCCAGACGAATGTTGTGGCATATTTTGAGGTGCAGTATAGTATACAGCGCCACCGCTAGTGAAGGGCGTGAAAGCATTCATGTTTACCGGCACGGCACTTTGCATCATATATTTTTGTTAGTGTTATCAAAAAATGATTAAAAGCAGTAACCCAGAAGCAGTCACCCAAACAAAATAAGACGGCTGAGTGCTTGAAAGACCATGAGAAGGAAACGTCTGGCTATTCATGTTAACAGAAAGTGAAGCACCCAAATGAACTGCGTAGTTTGAAGCAGCAGCTGATTTTACGCTCATCGATGGTCGAATAAAGATATACTTTGAGAAAAGTCAATAATAAATACATTACTGGAGCTGGACGGATCGGAAGACAATGGAACATTTTGCATACTTGACTGCTCAAACGCTAGAGAATGAGGAGTTACCGACGAACTACTTTGCACAGGAACAAAAACGCTAGGTGTTGCTGTTGGCATTCCGAAGAATGGTACGCCATCTTGAGATGCGTTGCAAACCATGCCCGCAAAATTTGGATCAATTGAACTAACCACAACGGAAGTATAGCTTGGGTTTATTAGGGTTACATTTGCAATATCTGCTGCTGTATTGTCAACCCAAGCAGTGGTACAATTGATTCTGTTTGAGAGCTGATTGAATGATTCTGTGTAACGAGTTCTAAACCCAAAGTTGTTCCGATTTCATAACAATTATTGCTAATCGCAAGAATAAAGATACTGTAACTTGATAAAAAGTCAGCCTGGGTAAATTTTCCTTTCCATATTAACATGAAATGCTTTGTACCCTACGGTTAACACATGGGCGAATCTTCGTTAACACTAGCGAGAACACGACAAACAGTAGCTCTATAGAGTACAATGAGAAAAATTAGAAATAAGCCTCGAATTAATAAAAATTCGGCTAAGTCTAAGATTCCAATCTGCTACCTAGAGATAAAGAGTCTCATATACTAACCACTTAGCTACGGTCGCTCAATAAGCATCAAACACTAACCAAAAAAAGCAGAGAACAGATGCTATGCAATTTCCAATGTCACAGTGAAATTTCCAAATAAGTGAACACTTTTAATTAACACTTTTATTTGCGAGTTAGGTTAGAAAAAAAGAAGGTTCTTACTGATGCACTATCGCTCGCAAGCTTGAAGTGTAAAAACGAGCCAACCCTGGGTAAAACCGCAAAAAAATCAAATGAAGCGCCATTAAGTTGCCTGATATACCTTGAAATTTGCATTAAGTTACCCTGCTACAGTGAAATTTCCCAATTAGCGAACACTTTTAATGAACACTTTTATTTGCGAGTTAGGTTGGAAAAAAGAAGGTTCGTACTGATACACTATCGCTCGCAAGCTTGATAGTGTAAAAACGAGCCAACCCTGGGTAAAACAGCAAAAAAAATTGAATGAAGCGCCATTAGGTTGCCTGGTATACCTTGAAATTTGTATTAAATAACCCATGTTCTGTAAAAACATGATGTAACTCAATCATTCAGAGCGCATAAATTGCTTGTCAAAAAAATTGTACAGAAAAAAGCAGCGCGGTTTTGTTATTACGATTTTCTGGCGGAAGAAATCGTCAAGACAAAGCTATTTACTCAATTCGTAGCAACGAAGGAAATAAAAATTTACCTTTTCCCTTATCTTCATCTTCCGCCCATGAATCCTCTGCCAGGTCCAGATCCCCTTCAGTCCAAGATGACACCTTGTCCCCTGCAACGACAACAACTATACACTGTTTTCAATAGAACGTTTCATTCCACACAGGCGAGTAAAAAATATATGAATTAAAAACATAGCCAACTAACAGTTGGAAAAGAGTAATGAACGCAAAGTAACTAAAAAAAACTGACGAGTTTTTTCAAGATCCTTCAACTTTTGAATTTCGAAGAAAAAAATAGATGGCCTTAAAGCTCTTTGAATTTGTAGAACACTTAAGGATGGAGACTTTTTTGTTAAAATTAACCCAATTTGAGAAAACTGGATCGATCAAGTAAAATGTTGATTTCGCTGGGAAATCTGAAAACTAAATTCCACTTTCAATACTAGAAGTCGATTAAGATGTTCGTGACCTTTACACTTTTGCTGTTCGATAGTGGAATTTGCCTTCCTTTCAACAAAGAAAATTGATATTGAAAAGAATTTTAAATTTTTTTAGCGTAATTAAATTTAAAGACTTTTCCTGAAATAAAAAACAAAAGAGTTCATCGTGACCTATATAAAGTGTCTGAACTATGTTCATCGACTATTAATCAAACCAGAGTTGGTAAAAACGGATTTAAGTTTTTGTATACGTTTAAAACAGTTTTACAACAGGAAAATGTTTACCCGCTGAATCATAAAACATGTTCATTCCGGACTTTCGGGCAATTTTCAAAAACCAACACCATGGCTTCATTCATTGCTGATTGGATCAATTTTTGACCCCGAACATCGGATACAAAAAATTAGCTGCAAAACTTACATCTGCCGGCCAAAAACAATTTTATATCGGCTTACTTGTTAAAAGATGTTACCGTACTGATGTTTTAAAACACAAAGAAAAAAGATCCTTGCTTTTAAACATCTTGTTATAAAACGTGCCAACCCTAGATGAATCTGCGAAAAAAAATCCAAATTAAGCGCAATTAAGTTAAAAGACTTTTGCGGGAAAAAACAGCACTATATATATATTGAGGTCTTCACTTAGTTTATCAACACCTAGAAGTTTTTAAAATGTTCTGATTTGATAACACTTGGCCGACGCAAGCGTAAAAACATAAAATTTGAGAGGTACATTTATAGACGAATCACCATTTAAGATGATTGGCATTTATAGAAACAAGCATACCTTCTTTGTCGTCCTTGGCCTTTTCTTTGTCTTTTTTATCCTTCTTGTCTTTGTCCTTTTCTTTTTTCCCACTTTTATCCTTATCCTTTTCCTTTTCTTTGTCTTTGCCCTTTTTATCGCCATCGTCATCTAAGAAAAACAAACTTTTGATCTTGCCGGTTTCGTTGGCTAATAGACTAATTATTCTATAGGGGACAGTTCGCCGAAAAAGGAAACTTTTTGGTTAAAACCTTCCAAAAAGTGCCTACTTAAGTCTTCGAAACATTTTTCCTCAAATTCCATGGTATTTTTACACTGAAAAACATTCCAAACTGTCACCCGCCAATAGTCGATTAGCGCAGTAACGGATTTAGCTGGGGGTGGGGCTCTTTTGCAGAGATTCGACCCTCCGAAGAGATTACTTGAGGTCATCCATTATTGGACACCTACCCTACTATTTGTTCTAAAGGCGGCAACATATGCTACTTTTAAAGGGCAGCATGCACCGAAAAAACGCATTTTTTGGCAAACACTATCCAAAAAGTGCCTAAAGACGTCTTCGAAAAAAAATGTGAAAGCCCCTCGAGCAAATCCTAGATCTGGGTTAACACCAAAGATGCAATACGTTACAAACCTTCTTGCTTCGAATCAGCTTTGGATATTTTCCTTTTCTTTTCGTCTTTCTTGTCCTCGTCTTTACCTAAATTAAATTATCCCTCACACCAAAGTTTTGTGATATTCGCCTGTTGTGATAAAATCGTATACTAACTTTCATCTTTATTTTTCCGTCGTAATATGCCACCAAATATGCCTTTCTTTTTGCCTTCACCTAGAAAAAGAACGATGACCTTGACAAACAAGAAAAGAAGAAGAACTGAGCTTTTACTGACTATCGATTCGTATAAGGATGATGAATTAATCAAAATTATAACTTAAGCTTCAAGCTACGAGCTAATGCGACGCAAAAATGATACGTAAGCTTGACTACATAACTAGATACCTTTCTTCTTTGTAACATTGTCTGCATCCAGTTCTAAATAGTCAACATTTGAATTGCATCGGTAGTTCAATTAAGCCGAATAAAAATGAACCCCGAAAATAATCTATACGAATTCAGCAAGGATTTACAAGAACAGTTTATGATTGATGCATACCAAACGTCTGTTCAACTTTTTCACGTATGATTTTACCTGTTACCTTAAATTTTTCTTGACTTTTTTGCAGCATAACTTAGTTTTTGGTTTAAACATTTTAACTCCTTTTCTACAGTAGTATAATAATCGTTTCAATAATGCGCAGTCGAATCACGAAAAGCAAAAGTTGTGGCCTTCCTGCTTGCTTCAACATTTTCAGAATAATCCACCAATCTATGGAGAGTTGTATCGAGTGCTTCATTTAGAAGACCATTTATCCACGAGGGACAGCTCATCACGGCGAACCGCTCTAGTGCCCCTGCTTAAGAACTGCATGCAATTTTTTGGTTATTATTTTAACTCAACTACACTCCAAGGATAAGATTTTTGACACAGAAGTGACGCTGAGCTTCGGACCACATGCGATACAAAAATTATAACAATTATAGGATGAAAGCACCATGACGCTCAAAAATTAGCAAAAAGAACTTCGAGCGATGCTACAATCGAAGGAAAAACAAAAAAACACAAAAATCTATTTTTTTTGCGTATAAAATTTATTTCAAAGTTTAGACAAATATTATGCCGACAATATAATTCGAAACAGAAAAATTCCGTTTGATGAAAAAAACATGTCCTGGTCAGGCTCGAGGTCCAGGCATATTTGTTACCTCCAGGCTAAGATGGCCGAGAAAGCATAGAAGTTTGAATGCATTCTGAGCCAAAAAAAAATAAGTGATTCCGTAAAACACGTTATTAAACCGAAAACAGTCCGTTTTCCGATTGGATAACGCTTGCAAATTGCAAGCGTAACAAGCATGAATGTTCATAAGTTACCTATCCAAAAGAAAATTCAGGTGACGAAAAACGCTAAGCCAAAGGATCAAAAGAACAATATTCAAAACAGCGTTGAAAACATACAGCCCCAAAGAAGCTACGCGCCATCAAGTGCAGTGATCCTTGTATGGTTTGTCGAAAAAGCGGTTAAAAAGCATGGTTAAAACTTATTCTTAGCCTGATTAAAACATGATTAGAAAGCTTCGGCCTAATTTTTCTTATAAATAAAAAAAACCAGTATCTCCTTTATAAAACTATAAAAATCGTTAATCGTGACATTGCATATTCCATGCAACATTGCGATAATGGGAGCCTTGATTTTCCTGGTGTTCCTTATCAGAATTGAGAAAAAAAGTGTGACTGCTTAGCGATAGAACAACAGCTCGTTATATTTTTTACCAACATCATTAGAAACACAGACGTACAAAAACAAATAAGGAAACCTTCGACAAAAAATTATCTCAAATCAATTCAAATTAACAGCTGCGATTGAGGGAATGAAATTCGAAGGATGAAAGAAGCAGCAACTTCGATTTAAAATAAACTAGCGTGTAACGCATCTCCGGTGCTTCGAGTTTTTAACAAACTATTAAAAAGCGCAGATATTGGAAAAAAATTATACTTTGAAAAACCAAAAATTCTGTGAAGTTCTTTGAAACATTTTTAAAATGACATCAAAAAACGCCATATCTCGGAAACTAAAGTAAATACGCAGCCACAATGGAATGCAAAAATTGTAACTACAGAGAGTACTCTCACAGTACCCAACTACAGCGTTGAGAATTTCAAATTTTGAGAAACTTCAAACTTTTTGAAAAAAAAAATAACATTAAAAAAGTCATATCTCAAAAACACAAAATTTTGAGCAGTCACATTTGGAGGCAAAATTCGCAACTCTTGACAGTAATTTGACAGCCCCCAACTACGGGGTTAAGAACTTGAAATTTTTCAAAAAAAAATAAATTTAAATTTTCTGTAAACATTTTTGAAAAATCACAAAAAACGTCATATCTCGAAAACTACAAGGATTTTGTTCCGTCAGATTTGGAGGCCAAATTAGCAACTCCTGGAAGTGCAATGGAAGAGCCTCAGAATAGAGATTTGAATTTCAAATTTTGTAAAACTATTTATAGCTAAGTTCTTTGAACAATTAAAAAAAAGACATAACAAACGACTTATCTCGGAAACTAAGAGCATTTGATCCGTCGAATTTGGACGCAAGAAAATAAAGCCTCATTAAAGCCCGGACAAAGCCTCACTACAGAGATGGAAACTTCAAATTTTGTGAAATTTTTTATAGATCTAAGTTCTTTGGACAACTTTGAAAAACCCTACCAAAAGTCATATCTCTAAAACTATAGGGATTTTAGCAATTATGTTTAGAGGCAAGATTCGCAACCCTTGAGGGTACCCTCAGAGTTTCCAACTACACGATAAAGATCTTCAAAATTTTTGAATATTTTTAAATCTTCAAAAAAAAAAATCATAAAAAACGTCATCTCTCGAAAACTATAAGGATTTGAGCAGTCATATTTAGAGACAAGACTTGCAAACCCTGAGTGAACCCTCAGAGTTTCCAACTACACGATACGGATTTTCAAAATTTTTGAATATTTTTAAATATACGTTTTGAAAATTTAAAAAAAATATATATAAAACGTCATATCTCGAAAACTACAAGGATTTGAGAAGTGAGATTTGGAGAAAAGATTTGCAATCCCTGAGAGTACCCTGACAGTACCCAACTACAGAATTGACAATAACAAATCTTAAAAAAATTTTCAAATTCAAGCTTGCTGATTTCAAAATTGATGAAATAATCCTTGACATCAAACTGGAAAATCGAAAAAAAATTCTTAACCATTGCAATGTACGATAAAGCTCAAACGTGAAAAAACTTTTTATGTAACATGCAACAATAATACGTTGAAATAGCTTAAGCAAGGCGAATTATTGAAGCCCGCCGCACGCATTTAAACATATAATAGATTCAGGCAAAAAGGCGCACACATGTGTGAGAAGTAAAAACAGGAAGAAAATAATGTGCTTTAATTCAGCCAATCAAAAAAGCTGCTGACCAGATAATCAGGTAATTTCACACAAAACAGCGCAGCGATATCATTTGAACAGAGAGGCGAAGCTACGCTTCGCAAACACTAGCGAGAACACAAAAAAGCTGCTGTATAAAGTGCAATAAGAAAAAGTAGAAATAAGCCTAGAAGTAAAAATCGAAGTAAAAAGATTCAAATGAAAAACAAAACCGAAAAACCAAAATTTCATAAAATACCACAAAAGTTGAAAAATTGTCACAAAAAATAACTTCCAGAACACCTAATACAACTTTTAACATCTATGAAAACATCCCAAAGAAATCGAACTTATCAAATATCAAAAGTTTTATACTGCATGTATGCTGTTCATATACTTCAGGCAAATCTGTGGATTAAGTTGTTTACGGGAAAAAGCCTAGTACCTGATTGCAATACTCTTGCTTTTCGCAAGGGTAAGAACAAATTTTGAGTGGAAAAAATATTGCCATGAAAAACTTAACACTAAAAATTCTAATTTTGACGATTTGTGCGATCCGATGGAAAGCATACGAATTAAGGTTCCTCCGCAATTTCAAGTACAAAGTGATGTATCTCATTAGAAACGCGTTATTTGGACCAAAAAGCTTGCCTCAATTCAATTTGAAATGATTTCTGAGACGGCTTAATTTGCCGCTTACGCTATGCATTAAAAGTAAACTGGAAAAAAGCGCGCACTAGCCATCCCATATCGGCTAAATAAAAAGACCATAAATTCATTAAAAAGTTCACAGGTGAAAGATCGTGAAATTTTGAGCGGATACATTAATATCTTTCGAAATGTTAAAAAAAATGGTCAAAAACATCTAATTAACAAGTCGAAATTTGCCCAGGGGAAAACAAACACCACGACTACAAATTTAATTGTCACTTTCTTAATAATGGAACCAGTTCAGACAAGTATTTATTATATTAGCCTAACTGTTGTGATAAACTTAATAAATACTTTCAGAGACGGTCGAATGGAAAGTCATAACAGTATTTCCGACAAAACTGATGCCAATGGAGGGAACCTGCCAGGACTACGCTCCTATAACCAAACACCAATAACGAAACCTAAAGCCCATGTGCCTTGAGCCTATGTACTGAAAATTAGAAAAACAAACTAAAGAAGAACTTCAAAATCTAATCAGTGAAGCTATTAAAATCTAATCAGTGAAATAATGTGAAACAAATTGAAGAACAACTTCAAAATATAATCAGTGAAGCTATCAAAAATTAGATGATGAAAATGAAAGATCAAATTTTGGCAACTACATATAAAGAGATAACCATCCACTTGAGTTTAAATGAGCTGAAAACGCTCTTTGAAACAGAACACTTGGAAACTGATAACCGCCTGGACAATATTAGGGTACTCGGAGTGCCACAAATTCTGGAATGAGATAAAACAAAAGAAATGGTCGAGACAAACATGACAAAAATTGTAGAGATATCGCGAGAAAAAGAAGCTGATGTTGATATTGGAGATATTTCAATTGCCCATCGCTGCCTTCAAGTTCACCGAGAGGAAAACCGATGACTGTTCGTTTTGCTCTACGAATTGCCAAGTTCAATTCCTGCGTAGCAAGAATCTCTTTTCATCTGAAGATACTTCGAAGAATGTCAACATCTTTGAGGACTTGAGCCGGCCACGAGTTAATTTTATAGAAGTTAATGAGGAGACACGCGGATCAGCTATGTTTGGACGAGGGAAGGTTCTATTTAATTTATTTCGTTGTATGAGAGTGGACAATTCCTTCAATATAGTTCTTCTGATGTGATTAAGTGCTTTAAAGGTGTTTTCCGGGAAACCGGAGCACCAGAGGCTCATAACAATCTTGTGCTGCTTCATCTAATCATTTAAATCTTTTACTTAAAAATGTTCGTTCATTAAAAAAACACCATGAAGATTTGAAAGCTTTAGTAAAATGCCTCGAGTCTCCACCAAAAATTTTATGTATAACAAAAACCTGGCTCGGTAAAATGACAACTTAAAATGTACACTATAGAAGGGTTTCATTCAGTTCTAGCTAAAAATAGAGATACCAGGGGAGGTGGAACTACGATTCAACCAGGAGAAAACGTAACTTTATTTGAGCGAGCAATGATGACAAGTACTGAGGCTTTAGCACAACTGGTTGAGCTGAATGACACTTGCTTTATAATAGTACTTGTGTATCTTCTACCTAGAATTGATAAAAAGCACTGTGTCGAAGAATATGATTGCGAGTTAGAGTACTTAGTTATCAACAAAGTACCCATTATCCTAGCGGGGAATTTCAAAATTCATTTAATACAGAAAAAAATCTAATTCAGTTCAATACAAATACAGTAACTGCAGAAAGTGATTTTGCTTATAATACCCGTAGATCATCACTTCAAGCTTTCAAAAAAATAAGCGTGCTTCAAGAAAATCAAATCAGCACAGCTGTAGAACCGTGGAGCAAAACTTCTCAACATTTAATGCAAAAATCGTTTAACATCAGATAATTTTGGACAAATGAACAGCCAGCAAATTTTCGTTTTTGTGCATAAATTAAAAAAACAATTACCTTCTAGGAAATTCAAAACTTACCCGCTTTATATTTAATAATTAAATATATTTACTATGATTTTTCAACTCATATTTGGATGCTGTCGGGTATTATACGTAGGGTTGCAAATCTATCATAAAAATGGCATTCTGGATCTTTTTAGTTTACGGGATATCGATGTTTTTAGGATTTTTCTGACGCAGAAAAAAACGTAGAAAATTTTTTATTCATTTTATCCTAGGAAGCTCAAATTTGGATAGGTACTTTTGTAGTTTTTGATAGGTATGTTTTGTAGCTGCATTGGGCGTCTAATACCTGGAAAAAAAATAAGGAAGAAAAAATTAGAACTATTTAAAGAAAAAAAATCTTTTTTTTACTGTTTTGTTTGTAGAGATAAATTAAATTTAAGGGTAGGCATTCAGTGGGCTCCTTAGCGTGCCTTTAGCCTGTCCTCTCCATGTTGCTCTTATGGTCATAATTCAAGAAAATGGAAAAAAATGTCGATTTAATTTTGTGTAATCTATTTTGATGTATCATATTATGTATACTGGAGAAATAAATTTTCTTCTTCTATATATTTTGATATTTATCACTGTAAAAATATTTAGAACTAACCAATCATGATCCAATTCTAAAACTTATGATAAATTGTAAAGCTGAAACTATTCATAGTTTCAGTCAGAGACATATACTTTAACCTCGCAAGAATACCAGTATAAACTAATCTATAGAGACGAGGAAATATTAGAGTAAGATTAGGATTAGACTAACACGAAACTATCCGGTCGATAATAGCGTGACGAACAGAGGGTGTACCTTCTCCTAAATTACTCTATGAGAAGGCCACCCCCGACTTTAACTCAATAAGTCGATACAATTTACGATATCATCACTTGCCAACCTGTTTTACCACGAAAAAGAAAACTTTTCTTTTTTTCAATTTCTTAGCACTCCTAGCAAAACATATATGTATCCCTTGATTCTTTGCTCGACAAAATAAGTAAAAAAAGTTGGACGTAAGCAAATTCTTGTCATGAAACAGTATAAGTGATTTTTCTGGCGAATAAATGTCAAAGAGTAATCGCCATCGATTTTTATAATCAGAGCAAAATTATGAGTTACCTTTTTCTTCTTCTTCGGCCTCATCATCCTCCTCTTCGCCTTCAGCCGAATCCTCCTTGGACTCATCCTCTTTCTGATTTTTCTTTTTCGTCTTACTTTTCCCATCCTCCTTTTCTTCTTTCTTTTCTTTCTTCTTGTCATCTTTCTTTTCTTGTTTCTCGTCTTTTTTATCCTCATTCCCTTCACTATAAGTGTCTCCATAATGAGTTGAGTCTTCATCGGAAACTTCGCCGCTTTTGTCATCTGTCGCTTTTTCATCGGGCGACGACAAGTCTGGCGCTGACGCGAACAGAGTCCTCCGCGTGGCTCGAGGACTATCCACTATAACTTCCTCTTCTTGTTCGACTGAAACTTAATTTTAAACAAGGCTTTACACTTATTGATATGAACCTATAATGATTACCGATCCTTCCGACCGCTTTGCAGGTTTTCGTTAACTTTTACCAGTGAAAAAATAAAAGACATCAAACTTAAACTTCTGATATAGTTTTTATCGTGATCACGTAGTTATCAAATGGCCTTTTAATTGAAATTATGATTTGAAATCTTGTGTTGTTTCATCAGTGGCCTTCGGTAGATTTCGGGGATGAAACTAATACCCGAGACTTTTGTTAATCGATTATAAATCACCTTCTATTGGTTTTGGCCCAATAGTCCTGACTTTTGGCTCCACGGATGAGACGGAGTTTCTTGGCAAATCAGAGAACGTCAAATCGGGCAATGAGGCCAGTTTTTCTGTCCAAGGTACAGGCATTGTGTGAGCAAAGAGTTTCTCTTTCTCAGACTCGATCTAAAACAACCAAGCTGTTTGCTTTTCTAACATACGCTAGAAAAGAAAAATGGACCTTGATAGTTAACATCATACCCTCCCCCCACTCTATTGCACAAGGTCTCAAAAGATTGGCATTCGGGAATGTTACAAAAACTGGCATCCAAACTAATTAAGTCATTGGCTACTTTAGCACTGCTTTCAAAATTTTCAAGTTGAAGCAAAGTCTGCTCCTATCCATTAACACATAGGTCAAGTTTCACTTCGCAAACACAAGCAAAAATAAGACCGATAACTCTACTGGGAAAAACTGAATGAGTAAAACTTAGAGTCTACAAAACTTCTTAAGTGACGCACGCCAATTATGATGCATTAGCAGTACCAGTCAATTTGAAAAAAAAAAGGAAATTGACTAACTAACATGCCTCAATTTATAGAGCACTCTATAGAGCAGTAATAACATGAAAAAATTGAATGTAAAAAAAATGAATTTTTTTTAATTTGAGATTTTTTGGGAAAACCATCACCCCACACGCCATATTAAGTACAAAGTGATAATTTTCGCTTTTTTAACACATCAATTTGTCTGAAAATAAAAAAATCACCCCGAGCACAAATATTCCGTTTTTTTTTCGTTACGAAAGTCGGAACAATAATAGTCTGTGTTAAAATCCTTATCATTTCATTGGCTGTACATAATAGTTGGTTATTGATCAAAATAAACACATTTTATCGCAACAATATTTGCGTCGCAACAAGATTTGCGACTTAGGCTGGAAAAAAAGATAGTTCATGGCTACATATGTATAGTGTCAATCAGAGGGTTTACAAAGTTAAGTATGGAGACTTAATATGTTGGTCGTGGCCTAATCAGCCCGCATGCCAATTTTTGTAATATTTCCGAAGACCAATCTTTGGGGAACTTGTGCAATTAGGTGTGTGTGTGTGTGTGTGTGTGTGGGGGGGGGGGGGGGGGGGTTGATGTAGCTTACTATCAAAATCCAATTTTCTTTTCTAGCTTTTTCTAGCTGATGCTTTTTTGATTTTTGAGGTAATTCATTGCAATTTTTTTTCGATTCCTAAATTTGTGAAAACTTTGTCCAAGTCTCTGTGGTGAGTCATTAATGGATAGGAGCAGATTTTGCTTCAACTTGGGCGTTTGAAAAGAAGTTCTAAATTAGCCAATTTCTCCGCCTCTGAATCGGAAGGCCGGTGGTTTGAGGCCCACTAGGATCTGATGCTAAAAGATGAGTCAAATTTATCCAGCCCAGAAAAAACCCGCGGTTATCTGCAAATAGTTATTAGGACGTATATTTCAACTTCGCAAACAAGCTACAAAACGGCAATAGGTAGCTCTAAAAGGGCTTTAAAAAGCAAAATGATAAACAAAGTAAAAATTAGCCTTGAAAAGTAAAATGTTTGCTCATGCCGTAATTGAAACGCCGGCCTGGAGATTTCGAGTCTCATTCCCTCGCATGTGACCATGGTCGCTTGGCAATAACCAAATACTAGTCACGAATAAAGCAGATGATAGAGCAGATGATACTTAATTACCAATGCTATGGATGGGCACTTTTTTTGCGAGTTGGGCTAATTAAATAAGATATTCGGTAATGTAACACTGCTCTACTCAGCTCGGTTTTGTAATGACAAATAAAATGGCCTGACAGATTCACCTTCTTTGCTCTGTGTCGGTCTCTCGCAGTCAGTTTACTCATGGTCAATTTCTTAGACATAGGAGCTGGCAAGGTGGTTGACTTCCCGACTGAAGACGCAGCTGCCATTCTCATTTTGGAAGTTCCTCCGAGGTAGTCGAACTTGGACATCTCATCGTCTGTGTCACTAGCTAGACCTCCTTCATCGTCACTGTCGACGAAACCACTCGGGGATGTCTTCTCTCGTTTGGCTGCAACTATTACTGAGTGAGTTCCTCCAAGAGAAAACTAAAATGTGTCCAAATCATATCATCTAGCACATCTTATGAATTGGACAGCCTTTTAGTAGGCAACCTTCTAATCTTCTATCTTGTTTCTAGACGCCAACTATGAATCACGTTTGCTGATCCTGGAAACAATTCCCAGCCCTAAAAAATTACAAAAAAAAATCAAATAGTTTCTAAGCCAATTTTTCTCGAAAAGAAAGCTTAGTTTCAAAACTAATTTTGATTATCAAGCATAACAGATGATCATCACTTCACTACGAAATCAAAGCCCAATAAAAATGAGCACTAGCGATGCATTTTATATATAAATTGCTGATCCAATTAAACTTTTAAAAGGATCAGGCTTTAAGATAGCAGTCGATCGACTCACACTGAGTACTTTGAACTTCTTAAAGCGCAGCACAGGTACAGGGTTGAAAACATTGGCGGATTCATCGCCAATCTGGCACAATTTACCATCCTTTCCGTCACCAAACATCACCAACTGGCCTTTTGCTAAAACAAACAACATAGTTTATAGAGATGTTTTCGAATGAATTCGTGCTTTCCCAGATGGGATGCAGAAAAATCGAAAAAACTAGGTTTATCAAAATGAATAAGGCTAGAAAAAAACAGAACTATCAAAATGAATAAGGCGAATTATCAAACGAAATATTGCCAAGGCAACAGAAAGTGAAAATTGCATCGCAAGAAAATTTACCAAGCGATGACAAAGCCGAAAATTGCTTAGCAGAAACCCTTTAAGCCGAGCAAAAATCAACAGGACTTAAGACTTATAAAAAGTTAAGAAGTCCCCCTCACCTTTAAACACATACACATACATCAAACTTTACTTGCACGTCAAATGAAACAAATTGAGTCCCTAAACCGATATAATGAAGGGAGAAAACTATTAAAATGAAAAAAAAAGAAGAGCAAAAAAAAGAGACGAAAAAAAATTGAAAATTTTTTTAAGACTAATAAAAAATTATTAAGTCGCCCCACCCCCCAAAATATACACAAGGACACACAAAACTTTAGACGCAATATGAAGCCATTAAGTCGATAAAATATAGGCCGAAACTTATCAAGCCAAAAAAAGAAAATAATAAAATTATTGTCATGAAAAATTTGACCTATAATTTCTATTAAGATTGTGGCATATTTTGAAATCCGGAAGTGAACAAAAAAATTCGAAATTAGGCCACTAAACCGATATAAAATAAACCGGACCCTATTATGACGAAAAAAAGGACAACAAAAAAAACAAAAAAAATTTTTAACAAATCGAATAGCAACTTTTAAAAAGGATGGATATTTAAAAAAAAAAAAACTCAACCATGCTTAAAATTTGCAACCGAGAGGAGTAAGATTTAAAAAGAGGACAAAAATTAGGTCACGAAGCCAATAAAATATAAGCCGAAATCGATTGGGCATAAAAAAACTTCAAGCGAAAAAGAAAATACAAGAAGTCAAGGTTACAAGCAGCTGAAGTAAATCAAAGCGCTAAGAACAAAAAACGAGTCAGCGATATTTGAAAAAAAAAACAGGTCCTGTCAGATTCGAAACCAGGACCTTTGCGGTCGCAGGCGTATTCGTTACCTCAAGACCAAGTGTGTCGAAGACGCAAAGAAATATGAATTCGTTATGAACTAAACCTAAGATTACCATCTCAAACTTTGGACAGTCTGCAAGCAAAGTTATGTACGTTAAACAGTCTTGTACCCAAATGCAATACTTTTGCTTATCGCAAAGGTAACAATTCATAAGATAGGGTGCGAATCAGGATGCTTTTTTCTGCTAGCCTGCAAAAAGAAAAACATAGCCAACAGACAGTTAGATAGATTCAATGAACGCAGTGAACGAATTTCAACTTTCAAAGAAAAAAACTACCCTTGAATCTATTTGAATTTCTAGAACAATTTATGTTGACACTTTTTTTAATGAAATTAACCCAATTTGAGAAACCTGGATCAATAAGTAAAAATTTTATTTCGCTGGGAAATCTGAAAAATTCGAAAATAAAATTCGTTGACGTTCGGAGTAGTGTATTGCATAAAGCAAAAAGAAAAGCGGCCGATCAATGAGAATAAGCGAAAGCGACCATGAACTTTTTCAAAGCCTTAACAAAAGCGGATAAGCTGTTTCAATACCAAAAATTATTGCGGGTTTAGTTTTTGGTCTAAATTAAAATCCCAATGCATATGGACTCAGTTGCGTTCTTCGAAAGCCAAAACAATCTCTGCTGTAAAATTTTTCGTATTGTGCGAAAACTTTTATTGCAAAACATAGCCAACAGACAGTTGGAAGAGTCAATGAGCGCAATAAAACAGAAAAAAAGTTATTTCTTGAAAAAATCTCAACTTTCGAAATTCAAAGAAAAAATGAAGCTCTTGAGGCTTTTTGAACTTCTATAACAAATGATGATTGGCCTTTTTGATCATATTAACCCAGTTTGAGAAAACTGGATCAATAGATACTTTTTTATTCCATTTTCGAAAGTAGAAGGCGATCACGTTTTTCGTGACCTTTACAATTTCGCTGTTCGATAGTGGAGTTTGCCTTCCTTTTAACAAAGAAAATGAACTGATTTTCAAAAGATATCAAAAATCAAACCTTGCAAAATAAAATTTGAACCAGAGCAAATTTTAAGACTTTTCCTTTAAAAAAATCATCATGAACTATAAAAGAGTCCAATAAATGACTTGCCGTTTAGCACTGCTGTATGATTTTCTCCGCACTTGACCTGGACACACTTGCTACGTTTCAGATTCTCTACCATCGTGGGAAAGTTACTCCTCATGCACCTGGGTCCCAATCCAAGTTGACCACTCTTGCCAGTTCCGAATGTGTACAGCTTCCCAGATTCTGAAAAAAATTGAATAGTAAATTTTGGTCGACTAAACGTCGGTTAGAAATATGGTCCCGTTAAAAACCTCGTTTAGAAGTATGGTCTCGAAAAACTACCATTAATCCCATATAAAAGTCATACAGAAAAGTTGTTTACATTAGTTTTTGAGTTTTGCTAGTGAATTGATATTTTTGATAATTTCATTTAGGAGAGAGCGGTCTGTACTTAGACACCTGCGTATTCATACTCGTCAGTAAGCAGACAAATACTATATTAACCAATCAGAATCGAGATGAGATAATAGTAATTATCTGTTAACTGCCGAGTATGAATACGAATATTTCTGACTTTTTTCCACTGGTTTGTTTGGTTATTTTTCAAAAAAAACGCAGGTATCACAAATAAGTATCTGAGTGAGTCGCGTGATACACCACACAGCCAACAGAAAATTGGAAAAGCGTAATTGAAAATGGAAACCGACATCAAATGATTGTCATTTGTGACTACTTTTCAACTTTCGGAAAAAAACACCACGGTGTAAAGCTTTTTATCATTGGCACTTTTTTCAATGAAACAAGCCAATAAGAGAAAACTGGGTCAATAGATAAACTTTGTTCATTCCGCTCTTAAATCTAAAAATATAACTCCACCTAAAATTGAAACCAATCGCGTATTTTGCGCCTTTTTTGCTCGTTAATAGAGAGCGGGATCCTTTAAGCAGATTAATTTCAATTGGACATTAAAAAAATCATTAATCTAGCCGCAAAAAAAAACCAAATTTGAGCATGAACTAATTTCAACTTTTACCTGAAAAAAAAAAAACATACTGGAGCAAGAAGAGTGAGCGAATTAAGTACAAAGCTCTTAATAAAGCTATTAAACAATTAGTTTTTAGCAGTGAAACACTTAATTTGAAGTTTCATTTACCTTTTCTCCAGTAAATTATATAAAATAGCCAACATACAGTATGAAGAGTCAATGAACGCAAGTAAACAAAAAAAACTACTGACTTGTTTTTTGAAAAAATCTCAAGTTTCGAATTTCAAAGAGAAAACAGATGCCCTTAAAACTTTTTGGATTTCTAGAACAATTCATGATTGACACCTTTTTGATAAAACTAACACAATTGGAGAAAATTGAATCAATAAGTAAAATTTTTATTTCGCAGAGAAATCTAAAATTAACTAACTGGTAACTATTTAACTAACTGGTTATGGCGGCCGTGTGCGTGCTACCACAGCTGACCAAATCGACAGCCTCTGGCATCTTCAGCACACACTCAGGCGTGTCTTTGTGCTGTATTCTCTGATTGATCAACCCCAACTGGCCACTCTCCCCATCTCCGAACATCCACAGTTTACCACTGTCTGCAACGAAGCAACAGAAGAGTAGGCAAAAAGTCAATAAAGTTCATTCACATCAAAACAGCAAACTTTGAAAAGATAGACTAAGAGATCAACTGACCTCGATGCAGCTAATACTGTCAAATAAACACTGGGATTACACTATAAAAAAGAGAAAACAAAAGACGCTGCTCTGGCGCCGGTATATTTTTGTTACAAGAATGAGGGCATAATTGGACTAACATGACTTAATCTTGACACAAATCAACCCAAAATGTGAAAAAATTAATAAACAAGAAAACCAAAAAATACAACCGATATGTTTTTGCAGCATTGCCAAAAATATATTAGGTCCTTAAAGCGCTTTAAATTTCAAGAACCATTTTGACACTTTATGATGATAGATAAACCAATTTGAGAAAACTGGATCAATAGTTACTTTTTATTCTACAGTTTTTTTCAGGTCAGTTCACTTCCGTTATCGGAGAGCGTAGCATATCTTTCATTTGGCAAATGAAGTTGAAGTTATACTCAAACTTCATCTTAAGTGCTGAAAAAACTTTTCAATCAAGAGCAAATCTTCAAGTTAAAGAGCTACAGAGCAAAATATAATCAGAATATTAAAAGAGCCAATGAAGGTTTGATATTGGGAAAAACATAGTCCACAGACAGTTGGAAGAGAGTTGATGAACGCAAGTAAACAGAAAAAACTTGTTTTTTGAAAAACCGCAAATTACGATTTTCGAAGAGGAAAAATAGATTACCTTGAAGCTCTTTGAAATATTAGAAAAATTATGATTGACATAATTTGAGAAAACTGGATATTTAGGTGAACTTTTTGTTCGCTGGGAAATCTGAAATTTAAACTTCACTTTCGGCACTAGAAGTCGATCACGTTTTTCGTGACCTTTACAGTTTCGCTGTTCGATAGTGGAGATTGCATTCCTTTTAAGAAAAGGACTTCAGCTGAATTTACAATGAACTCGAAAGTCAAACCGCGAAAAAGTTTTTTAGATCCTGAACAAAAAAATCATCGCCACCTATATAAGAATCTGAACTACGTAAGAAAACTTCAAGGACAACGTTTGAAAAACAACGTATTACTACTATTTGAGGCCATCTCTAAAATTGATTTTACCAAATCTATCAAAATAAATGCCTCAAATAAAGAGTAAATTAGTCATTAAAATGAAATCGAAGGCGAAAAAGAAAATTTTCTGACTTTTTAAAAATTTGTTGATTTTTAATTACTATTTAGCAAGGGAGACTACATTTTTTAACACAGAAGCCAAGGTGCACTTCGCTATGAACCAGCAACAGGCTCTACAAAGTGAAAATTAAGCAATGAAAAAGAAAACTTTCACTGTAAGCAGAAATCGAACTGTCAACTTGGAGATTAAGAGCATGAAGTGCTCTTAAAATATTCAAAGGCGTACAAACACATGCCATTAAAACGACAATTTTATTTTTAATACTATACAGCGAAGCGCAACTAATATGAGAAATGTTTTTACTCGAGTTGGAAATGAAAAAATTGGACTATTAAAATATTATGCTCGCACTTTATGACGATAGATAAAACAATTTCAGAAAACTGGATCAATGGTTACTTTTTATTCTCGATTTTTTTGCGTTAATTCCACTTCCGTTATTGGAGAGCGTAGCATACCTTTCATTTGGCAAATGAAGTTGAAATTATATTCAAAATTCATCTTAAGCGCTGGCAAAGATTTTCACTCACGAGCAAATCTTTTGAATGATTTGGTTTACACCAAGTTTGAATGATTATGGTTTAAATGGTTTAAGGTTGAGGAACTTAAAAAATTGATTCTACATCATCATTAACTCTACAGATAGGTTCTTACTTGTGACTACAGCAGAGTGATAGTATCCACATGACACCTCCTTGGCAGACTCCCTGACCAGGGACACAAGAGTGGGCTTGCTTCTAATCTCACAGTCGCCCACACCCAATTGGCCCAGCTCATTCTCACCCCAAGCATACACCTGCAATGAACAAGCTGAGTCATGATAATCAACAGAGAGGAAGCCAAGCTTCGCAACACTTGCTATACAACATAGCATTGCAAGCTAGCTTACAGAGGGAAGCCACTGAGTCGAAGAAACTCTTTCTTTTTAGTTTTAAAATTTTCTTGAAAATTTTGAACTCTTGAGGAATAAATATAAGAAACACAATAACTTCCGTTAAATAAGCAATTAAAATGCTTTAAGAAGCGGCAACTAAGCCTAAAATAATAGGTTAGACGCCAGACGACACGAAAACAAATCATCCGACACTGCGGCAAAGCCTCAAAAAAGAGAAAACATAGCAAACAGACAGTCATGAACGCAAGGAAACAAAAACAAACTGATTTAATTTAAAAAAAATTCAAACTTCGTATTTCAAAGAAAAAATTATATTGGAGAATACATGCTTGTAACTACCAATACTATGTAACAATAGTGCCACCAAAATAAGCAATTTTATTTGCGAATTGTTTTTAGAAAAAGAGAACAATCATAATATGACAACACGCTCGCTAGCTGGCATGCTAAAAACACCCAAAAGCAGATCAAATGATTTTTCTCCATCAAACGACGCGAAATGAGGCAACTAAGTGTTCTAGCATAAATCGAATCCATTTAACTGAGCAAAAAGTAATAGAGTTGGTAAACCTTCAAATAACAGAGCAAGTTTCAGTTATAACTAAATTAATTTTAATCAGAAGATAAATGATTATTTGAAGAAATAACAGTGCTTTGGAAAGTAAGCCGACAAAAACTAAGAAGACAAACGATAGTCTGACAAATCAAGTTTTCACAAAAAATCAATTTCCCACATATATCGAAAAAAAACAAAGTCTGGAACCCTAGATTTTATGTTCCAAAGGAAGGAGCGTTCTTAACCTACCTCTATACCAAGTGAGAAGATGCCTGGAACATATTGGGACTCCATAATAAAGCAGGGTCAATTTAAGATTTGTAAGAAAAATTTTTTACGAGAAAAAATATAGTTCTCGATTACAAGTACACTTACTCTCGCAATTGAAATGATTATACACCCATTTCATTGTTTTCCTGTTCCTATTATCGCATGCAATTTTAACCTGCATTTCAAAGTTTACACAATTTAAACATTTTGTTTCTATATATTCGATCTAACGTATCGGCAATACTGTCTTGGGAAGCATTTCATATCGAGTCCCACAACAGCTAAGTCTTGGTAGTTTTCGAAACGATTGAAGCTTATACTAATTATAGAATAAATTAGCAATGGATACATATGATATGTTAGGTTCTGTTAAATGATGTAAATTATCAAAGTTGGGGAACATATTTTGCTCATGGAGATGCTGATCCATTTTTTGTATTCTCCCAAGCCGAACTGAATTTTAAACGTACAATGTTTGGTTACTACATACTTAATTTTCTACAATTTTTGGTTAGGAGTTTCTAGCTAAAAAAAAATTAACAACTCTAACTTTGCTTATATAAAGGGCTAATCGCTAGTTTGGATGCGGCGAAATACGCAATCTCTTTTAGGCATCGTTCACACAGAAGCGAAGCTGCGCATCGCAAACTCTTGCGAGAACACGACCAAAAAAAAGCTCTATCAGATGAAATAAGATGTAGAAACAAACCTCGAAGTAGCAAAACCTCGGCTACGTGTAGGATTCGAATCTGCGACCTACTGCAATCAAGAGATTATGAATCTCACGCACTATCTACTCAACCACGCAAGCTTAAAAACCGCAAACACTAGTCACCAATAAAACAGCTACATATGCTAACAAAATACCAATGCAATTCAGCAAAAGTGGCACCAAATACAAATAGACTCAATTTTGCAAGTAAGAATTTGGATTAAAACAAACAGAAGTCATCCACACTAACTTTCCATGTAACAAATCGCAAAGCATAAAGCCACATTATGTATAAATTATGCATTTCAAAAAATTGCGAGATATATTGAGTTAGACAATTTCTGAAATCGAGTTTTCATTATTGTTATTTTATTTGAAACAAATCATTTTTTTTTTTCGTTTCCTTTGATGAATTTAACATAGCCAATCGAAGAGTAATGGAAAGAGCAATGAACGCAAGTTCTAGAGAAATTTATGATTGGCGCTTTGTTGATAACAGTTACCAATTTAGAGAAAACTGGATCAACAGGTAAAGTTTTTATTCCGCTGGAAATCTAAATTAAATTCCGCTTTCGAAATTAGAAATCGTTCACGTTTTTTCGCGCCATTTCCGTTCCTATTTGGAGAAGCTTTTTACGTCACTTCCAGCAGATGAATTTCAATTGAACTTAAAAAGTGCAAATATAACTAAGTGCATTGATAAATGCATCAATATGTACGTCTGTAGTTATTGGAGAATTTTATGCACATTTAAAAATAAAAAACCCAAATAAAAATCAGCAAGACCTAAATAAAAGTCTTCACTACATTCATTACTCTTAAAAATGCATCAACGGTGTCAACGTATTAATAGTGGAATGTTAAAGCATATGTTGTCAAGAAGCTGTAAAGGTGCCCCAAAATTAGCATCAATATTTGCGTCCTAGGTTGGAAAAACAGAAGGTTCGTACTAATGCACTCGCTTTACAAGTGTAATTATTCACTATGATTTAAAACTGCCCTTGTAATTTGAAGCTACACAGACGTGAAGCGGCAATTATCAACACAGAGGCGAAGCAGACACACCTGTCCTTTGGCAGTCAGTGCCATCGAGTGGTCAGCCCCACAGTCCAGCTGAACTACTCTATTGCTACTACTGTCCACTGTAGACGAGAGAGCGGACACTAGGTGGAACTTGTAGTCTGTCATCTCATTCGACACCCTCCCAATCCCCAGCTGACCTCCAGTATTCATTCCACAGCTGTAAAGCTTACCAGACGCTGCAGAAAGTAAGAAAGGTGAACACAAACAACACCATGCTACATTCGAAATGTTACACCAAAGAATGATTTGCACGAAACATAGATAACGTTTTACTTAAAACGGTGGGAACTACTAGAAACTTTTTGATTTTTCAAGAAAACCTCTCTAATAAAATGTGAGATTATTTGGATAAGATACAGAGATTGAAAAAATGACTGACCTCGTTTTTGATTTTTTTTTAAAAACGATGTCCAACTGTTTTTCAAATGTTTTTTATAAACCCTTTTAGGATATAACAATTTAACCTAGCCCTAATACCAGCCAAAGACGTTCACCAGAGCTAACGACATTCGAAATACCGAAGATTTTTTTTAAAACGACTAGATAAACAGTTGATTTGGAACTCCCTACTTTTCCCCTGTCCTATTAGGTAAAGATTTTCGAAATTCAAAAACTGTGTTTACTATGGGTTGAAACCTTTTTTAGGTTGGTTACTAAACTAGAGAAACTGTTCTAAAATGAAAGAGAAACCCTATTTTTTCCAAGAAAAAAAAACATTAAAAAGGCAAGCATGATATAAATAGCTAAGCTTCAAACACAAGTCAACCTCAAGAATATGTCTTAGAAAAAAGAAACTAGTCAGCTCAAAAAGAGCCACTATGACCAAAAAAAAGTATTTAAAAGTATCCCTGAAATTTTAAAATTTTCCTACCTGTGTATACTAATGTGTGACATCTTCCGCATGCCACTAAATCAACGGGCTGACTTCTAAGGGCTAAAACAAAGAACAATAATTATTCAAATTTTTAGCTCAAACAAATAACTCGAAAACAAAGATGATACTCTGCTTAAACGTGGTATTATGTCTGCAACTATATGCCATCAGCAAAGAAAGAATTTATTTCTCCATTTATTAAATCATTATATCCATCTTATGAAAAATTAATTTATAAATATATTTTTCATAAATGAACAAATCAACATGAATAAGGAGAGGATGACGAAGGTCACAAGATGTGTCCAGTTAGTCTTTCCATAAACTTCTGGGATAAATAAGAAACATAATTTAACATTAAAAAACTACTAATAATAAATCATTCTACTTTTTTCTATCAATTTATTATCCAAGTTCCGTTATCCAAAAGATCCCAGTCATCATCTAAAGATTGTCTGCTATGTAGCCCGTTAACAAAAAAAACTATTCAAAAAAAACTGATAGGAAAAGAATTACAATTTTTTTTACAAAAACAAAATGCTAGTAAATAACTACTTAAAAATCACCGTCTATTGCTATGTTCGTTATGTTTCACGGCCTGTTTAGACATATGCTGTAGTTTGTTAAAAGAAATTCGGATACTTTTTTCTTCGAAATTGTTATTGTTTTTTAAAAAGGCCATAGCTCGGAAACTAAAAACATTTAGAGGGTCATGTTTTCAGCATAGATTCGCAACCCTAGTAGGGTTATCTGATAGCATTTAACAAAGGGTATCTATTTTCCAAATTAGAAACTTTTTTTTCACTAACTCATGATTTCCAAGTATAAAATTATCTCTAAACTTATGGACAGTCTTCATTTCTTGTAATTAAACCAACTTTTTCAGGTAACAGGTTTATCTCAGCCAAAATATTCAGTAACTCTGATCCTCTGTTAGTTAGCGAACATGATTTCTCATTATTACAAAATGGTGGAACAAAACATCGATATTTTGAGTTCCTGGTATTGTATGCAAAACTTTTCAAAGAAAACATAGAATTTAGACAAAAATTTGAGTGCCTTTGCTTTAGTGATCTTAAACAAAACTTCGTCAATTCGTAGATATACAGCTCATTGACTGTCATTATTTTAACTTCAAAAAAGAACTTAAAAATGGTATCATATTTCCTTTTAAGTAAATCATGCGAATAATTTTTCGTTGCATCATCAGAATTGGGTTCAGAGAGCAAAAACTCGCGCATCCATTTACAAGTAAAACATATTGAATTAATGGCTTGATCTTCGATTCATAGTATTTCAGTAAGATTGATGAAGGTACATAATACCTCAATTTTGAAACAAGGCCACAATGACTACCCAGTTTTGATTTAATTTTTTGTATATCAGAAAAAAAAAATCAATTTTTTATCAAGAACAACACCTAAATATTTACAGCAGGATTTTAAATGTATTTAATTGTAATATTGAGTAAATTGATCCTAAGAGTAGAAGCGTCCCTACATTTATTAAAACTAATGTAGTTTTATCTAAATTAGTTTTATCATTGTTTAAGGTTAATTTATTTGAACACAGCCAAGCGGAAAGGTTCGTTAAATCTTTTTGGTATTCCTCTAAGATCGAAGTTTGACACGATATGTTAGTATCGTCTGCAAACAAAAAAGATCAGAATTGACAATTGCGTGTTGCATGTCGTTAGTAAATATCGAAAAGAAGAGGACCCAAAACGGAACCTTGAGGTATTCGTTTCAACCGGAAGCCAATCAGATGTACAGCTGCCAATTTGTACACACTGATATATGTTAGATAAATAACTTTCAAACCATTTGTAGCAATTACCACGCACTTCATAGTACTCTAATTTCACAAAAAGAATTTTATGGTCCAGCGAATCGAAAGCCTTTGTTAAATCAATAAAAAGGCTAAACTTTATAAATTTATCAACGCCTAGTTTAAGACTTTAAGTCAGTTGTGCTAAGGCATCCACCGTAGCATACTTCTCCCTAAAACCAAACTGACGATAATATATTAGTTCAAATTTTTCGAGATAATTGTATAGACGTGAGTGCATTATCTTTTCGATTACTTTACTACAACTACTTAAGAGTGATATCGGGCGATAGTTATTCATATTTATTCTACTATTATCTTTATGAAGTGGTAAAATTTTAGCATACTTGAGATATTGTGGAAAAACCCCAGTATTAAACAAAAATTAGCTAAATCAGTTAAACATGGTGCAATCACATAACAGCTTTTAATTAGAAACAGGTTACTAATTTCATCTATAGCACATGTTTCCTTTGGTTTCAGGCTATATATTACATCAATATCTCAATGAAAGAACTGCTAAAGAGATACACCGAGTAACTCACGTTTCCGCGTTGAACCACTGATTCTATGTGCTGAATTTTGTTGGCTAAATTGGTGCCAATGGAAGATAAATAGTCATTGAAATAGTCACAGCAGTAATTTCGAAAGCTATTCTCAGGTTTTTTGCGGATCATTTTCTGGTGTTGTAAATCTTTCCAGAGTTTGTCTGAGCACAAAATTTTTTTCGTCAAAATAGGGTCTTATAATGTGTTCTGGGAGTGCTCGGAAAATCAATTTGGTTGACCTAAAAAAAAATTATCGACATTTTTTTGAAAATCCGCCCCCCCTAGATCCGCCCCTGGTTACGGTCATTACGTATATACTAAATGGCCAACTTTTACGCTTGTTAATGTTTCGGGCGTTCACTTCCTTTTTGCGATCAATCGCACAACCACTTTCAAACTTTAATTGTAAGTTAATTTGATTGCTGAGCCGTTTTGTTCTGTTTTGAGCGATCGCACAACCAACTTTTTTCACCTTTTTTAGGGCTGAGGTACTGCATCATAACAAAAACTTTTGTTCTACCTTTAATTTTTTTGGGCTGTGGCATTGGATTATTGTGTCCATGGCCCAACTGCCCCCAATCGTTAGATCCGAACGTGTACAGTTTGCCATGGTGCGTCAAGATTGCCGTGTGTCTGTCCCCGCAACACACCTGTTTGATTGAGTCCATCTTGAAAAAGTATTTCTCAGGGATCAACTCATGTTGGTTCTTAGACTTTCCAAAAGTGAAAGCTGCTCCAGTGTCTAAAACACACAACAGTAACATAAAATTTTAGAAGTTAATTTCTTCTCACCTAATAATGTTTATTTAAGCTTAATATTTTCACGGCGCAGTAAAACCTTCGTGTTTACTTTTCAGCCTTCTTCCATGAAGTTTGCCAAAATGAACGTTGAGAAAATTCTCCAGGCACTGATGTATAACGGCCAGGTTAAGTACTTGGAACAAATTCGTTCGTATTGGCTTACAATGTAATATGACGCACAGTAAGAAAAAAAAAACTATTTTTCAGGTTAAAGAAAATTTGAGTTTAACAAATGTGAGTTAGAATTTGAAACAAAAAGCATTGATAACCTGGAACGTCATTGTCGATATCACTTTGGTCCGAATCCATCACAGACCTGAAAATCAAAAGTTGCACTTTGCAAACAAGCAATAAATGGCAAATGGGAGCTTTCAATTCAAATAGCAAGACCTCCTCCCGAAACACAAAAAATATACTGAAATACGGAGGACAAAAACTTTCCCACATATGGGAACTGATCCTACGCCATCGTTTACCTACAGCTTTGCAGTCTATTGCCTTACCAAACACCACGTACACAGAGACTAAACTCGCCACTTTTGAGAAAGTGGCACTAATTTGTGCGACTTGGGCTAGAAAAAGATAATTCGCAGAGTAACACAAGCGCTTGATTTTGTAAAAAAGAATATTCAGTTTTTTACAAGAATGTTTCACATCGTCCGGATCACAATGATTGATGAAGAAACATACAAAAATGAAACTTAAAAAAAGGAACTTTAAATCGTTTCCCTTAAATGTCCTGATGTTTTTCCCGTTAAAAATTGATGTTGTGCTACAACTCATAGAAGATGCCACGCTTGAACCCCTCTTAGTTTTCTTTAAGGCACCTAAAAATCACTCAAAATATAAACATTACGCCATACTTCCTTACCACTTTGTAAAATGAACAGAACAAAATAATTATCGTCACCAAGAGAACATTGCAAAAATTATTCATAGGAGCTTGAATCAAGGCTGAAAAGATTGAAATAGTTATCACATAATTTTCCTATGGATACTGAAAAAATTCCCCCAGTCGAGAAAAACCGGTTTGAAATTTTTGGTTTTTCGTCTATTTTCGAGCGAGTAAAGCGACCGAGTAACGTTCAATATATAAAATTTCCCAATGTTAGCTAAAAAACACGATTTCAATATAAAAAAAACAGCTTTCACTATAAAAAAAGCGTAATGAACGCAAGTTAACATAAAAAAACTCTGTTGAAAAAATCTCAACTTTCGAATATCAAAGAAAAAAATAGATGCCCTTTAAGCTCTTTGAAATTCTAGAACGATTTATGACCGGCGCTTTTTTGATAACATTAACCCAACTTGAAAGAACTGGAACAACAGGAAAAGTTTTTATTCAGCTGGAAATCTATTTGGAACGTTCCAGCTGAACAACGTTTTATTCAGCTGGAACGTTGTTTTTATTCAGTTCGTATTCGGAGAGCGTTACTTACGTCACTTTCAGCAGATGAACTTCAATTGAACTCAAAAAGTGCATATACACTTAACTGCACATCTGTAATTATTAGACTTTTATGCACATAAAACTTTTTCCTATAAAAGAAATTAGCAAGACCTATAAAAGAGTCTTCACAACGTTCATTACTCTTAATTAGTTTAGGAAGCCGTATTTAGCATAACTCCTGCAAAAAACTTTCGAAATTAATTGAAATTTATGGTGCAAAATATTGAAACTTTTTTACTTGTTTTGTGTTCATGTATATTTTGAAGACAACTCTAGACGTTTACGCCTAAGTCACTAAATTTCAACGCGTATGAATAGTTGCATCAACACGCAACGTACAAGAAAAACACTAACTCGAAGAATTTTTTTCTGAGAATGTGGTTGAAACATTCAGTGCTACTTGCACAGCAACCGGCTATCCTTGTCTATAACTCCCATTATATTACGATAGGAATCAAATTGAATATCAAGGTTCTGCCGTTCCTTGAATGAAAGAAAAACTATTCCTCAGAAAAAACTTTTCGAGTGCGTTTACATGATTGCACTTTTCTACTGCCAGATCAAATCTGACTTCCAAAAAAAGCAAAACAATTGCTTTATTCATGTTAATACATTTGTTAAGTACTAAACATCATCTAATTTCATCTTTATGAAGTTAATGCAATACTCCAAGCGGCCACTTATTTCAGGTGTTACGTGCTACTGGCCTTGCTGAATGAACAAAGCTAATATACTTCGGAATCTTCTGGAATTTTTTTTCTAAAAAAGCAAAAAAAACATGCTGCATAAGGGCTCAAAAATCCTTTTCCAGCACAAAAAAAGACCAATGCCAATGTATGAAAACCATTTACACCCCTTATTTGCCAAAGTACTAGATTTATCAGATACCATTTAACGCGACGAAGTTCCACTTCGCAAACTCAAGCTAAATTGAAGCACTTGAACTGCTCAGCTATGAAACTTCAGCTACAAGCTGTTTAGAGTGCAATCGATATGTTTCATGCCTAGAACTTATTAATAGGACTAAATATCTTGCTTCAATTCAACTAGCACAAAACGAACCTCTGACAGCACCCAATTACAGGGTTGGTAATTTCAAACTTTCTGCAACTTCAAATTTAAGTTCTCTCAAAAATTTTAAAAAAAATCACAAAAAACGTCATATCTCGAAAACTACAAGGATTAACTGCACATCTGTAATTATTAGACTTTTATGCACATAAAACTTTTTCCTATAAAAGAAATTAGCAAGACCTATAAAAGAGTCTTCACAACGTTCATTACTCTTAATTAGTTTAGGAAGCAAGCGTATTTAGCATAACTCCTGCAAAAAACTTTCGAAATTAATTGAAATTTATGGTGCAAAATATTGAAACTTTTTTACTTGTTTTGTGTTTATGTATATTTTGAAGACAACTCTAGACGTTTACGCCTAAGTCACTAAATTTCAACGCGTATGAATAGTTGCACGCGACGAAGTTCCACTTCGCAAACTCAAGCTAAATTGAAGCACTTGAACTGCTCAGCTATGAAACTTCAGCTACAAGCTGTTTAGAGTGCAATCGATATGTTTCATGCCTAGAACTTATTAATAGGACTAAATATCTTGCTTCAATTCAACTAGCACAAAACGAACCTCTGACAGCGGCCAATTACAGGGTTGGTAATTTCAAACTTTGAGCAACTTCAAATTTAAGTTCTCTCAAAAATTTTTAAAAAAATCACAAAAAACGTCATATCTCGAAAACTACAAGGATTAACTGCACATCTGTAATTATTAGACTTTTATGCACATAAAACTTTTTCCTATAAAAGAAATTAGCAAGACCTATAAAAGAGTCTTCACAACGTTCATTACTCTTAATTAGTTTAGGAAGCCGTATTTAGCATAACTCCTGCAAAAAACTTTCGAAATTAATTGAAATTTATGGTGCAAAATATTGAAACTTTATTTGTTTTGTGTTTATGTATATTTTGAAGACAACTCTAGACGTTTACGCCTAAGTCACTAAATTTCAACGCGTATGAATAGTTGCACGCGACGAAGTTCCACTTCGCAAACTCAAGCTAAATTGAAGCACTTGAACTGCTCAGCTATGAAACTTCAGCTACAAGCTGTTTAGAGTGCAATCGATATGTTTCATGCCTAGAACTTATTAATAGGACTAAATATCTTGCTTCAATTCAACTAGCACAAAACGAACCTCTGACAGCACCCAATTACAGGGTTGGTAATTTCAAACTTTGAGCAACTTCAAATTTAAGTTCTCTCAAAAATTTTTAAAAAATCACAAAAAACGTCATATCTCGAAAACTACAAGGATTTGAGCAGTCACATTTGGAGGGCAAAATTGCAACCCCTGGGAGTCCCTTTACAGAGCCTCACCTAACAAAATGACCAAACAAACGACACATCTTGGAAACAGTCATATTTGGAGGCAAGAATCGCATTGAAAAGCTTAAACATGGCAAGATAGTGAAGCTCGCATTTAAATATATAATAGATTGGGACAGATTAAATCATCGCTTTTACGAATTACTCCAAATTAAATCAATTGGCCATTTATAAAGCCCCATAAACCCGCACAACATAATCACGTGTTGAATATTTGCTAATGTTTTGCTCAGAACATCAATACCTTTCAGATGGCATAAAAACAGAATAGCCTCAAGAACCTCAACATCTATTCAACTTTGGCGCTTTTTATATGCATTATACGAGACTGCTCGTATATCAGATCAAAGCCTCAAAAACAGTGACTGCCCTGTATAAGGCCCTCAAATAGTTCTGTTACAGAAAATTTTGAAAAACTATTAAATTTGAGCCATATTGTTTCGCCCCCACCAGCTAACATAAAATAGTTTTGATAAAACTTGAGTCGTATAGAAAAATAATGAGCCCAAATTAGACGACCAAAATTCAATTTGCAGCAATTTCAATGCGGGATAATTTTCTACGCTTTCGGCATCAAAAACACCTCAACTTACAAAGTTCAAAGAAAAAAAGAAGCCCTTGAAGCTCTTTGAACTTCTAGAACAAATAATGATTGGCTTTTATTCGATAATATTAACCCAGTTTGAGAAAACTGGATCAATAGGCATTTTTTTATTCCATTTTCGAAAGTAGAAGACGATCACGTTTTTTGTGAACTTTACACTTTCGCTGTTCGATAATGGAGTTTGCCTTCCTTTTAATAAAGGAAATGAACAGAACTTGAAAAAATCAACAGTCAAACCGCGAAAAATCAAAATTGAGCGCGTAATAATTTTAAGACTTTATCCTGAAAAAAAAAACAAAAAAATCACCAAGACCTAAATAAGAGTGATCACTACGCTCATAACTCTTAATTAAACTAACCTAATTTGAGAAAACTGATCAATAAGTATATTTTATTTGTTTCGCTGGGAAATCTGATATATAAATTCCATTTTCGAAATAAACAGTCAATCACGTTTTTCGTGACTTATACACTTTCCCTTTTCGGTAGTGGAGTTTGCCTTCTTTTTAACAAAGAAACTGAACTACAATTGAAATGAAATCAAAAGCCACGCCGCAAAAAAAAAAGTAAATTTGAGCGCGAGTATATTTTAAGATTTCGCCTGAAAATTATCACGAAACATATAAGAGTCAGAACTACGTCCACCGACACTTACAAAGACAAAAAATATTCTTGGAAAACAACACTGAAAAAAATAACTTCTCACATTTTAAATTTATATACTGCCGCTCCAAAAAGGATAAAAACCACCAGTCCAAAGAGCAGCCTAAAGTACACGAATATGTTCTTTTTGCAAATTCTAGTCGCTGGTCGTTTTATCGGGGAGAGCAGGTAGTGAGATCTGAAACGTAGCTAATGAAAGAAGTTAAAAATAACTACAGCCCAAATTCATCTACTCTTCACTCTGCATTAGTCTGAAAAGCCAAAACTTCTATCCGCGTTTTTTCAACACTGAGAAAATGTTCCTTCAAATTTTTTATTGCAGCTCGAACCACGGCTAAAAGGGCATCATACTTCTTGAAAAAAAAAGATTAAAACAATCGTAAGAACATTTTTCAAAACTATTCAATCAAAACGTTTTGATTCATTCCCAGAGACTGCATTTTTAAAACATAGCCAAATGACAGATGGAAGAGAGTAATGAACGCAAGAAAACTGAAAATAAAAACGGATTTATTTTTTGAAAAACCTTCAAATTTTGAATTTCGAAGAAAAAATAGATGACTTTGAAGCCTTTTCAACTTGTAGAATAATTTATGATCGACAGTTTTGTATTAAAATTAACCAAGTTTGGGTAACCTGGATCAATAGGTAAAACTTTAATTTAGCTGGGAAATCTGATAATTAATTTCCATTTTCGAAATTAGAAAACAACCACGTTTTTCGTGACCTCTACATTTGTTTTTCGAAAACGGAGTTTGCCTTACTTTTAACAATGGAATAGCACTGAACTTAAAAAGAAACCACAAGTCGAAGAGCGCAAAATCAAAAGTGAGCGTGAACACATTTACAGACTTATTCCTTAAAAAAATAATCAGCAAGACGCCTATACCGGGCGACATTGAAAACGCAACATAAAAAAAGTCTTTCAGCAAATACATATTCAAACGAACCAAATTTCTTGCTAATAAGTACCGTGTGTCCTCCTTTTGCTTGAATGAATAATTGTATAGGTCTTTGCATTGAAAAACTAGAAGTGCATTCACTCAAACATCAACAAAAGAATAGGCCAGTTTTCGAGGATTTTTCGCCCGAATTTTTTGCATCATATATTCCGATCGATACTCGATTGGGTTTAGGTCCGGACTGTTTGCTGGAAAAGGAGTTTTTGTAATATTGATTTCCCTGAAAAACAGCTTAACAAGTTGGGCAGTATGAGGTCTTGCATTTTCTTGTTGAAAAACCATAAAATCTAGCGACATTTGAAGGAATGGTTGAGCTTCAGGAATAAAAAGCGCGTCAAGGTTTTTATGTGCATTTAAAGTTCCTTCAATGAGTTTTGGTTGAGTTCTGCTTTGATTTATTTTTTGCCTATCTTTCATACTCAATAACATTTTTGGGTTCAGACGTGATCCTGTTACTATACAGAAAAACTCTTCGATCGTCGGACTTCAAAGCAAACCTACATTCGTCCCAGAAAAGAACTCTGGCCCAATCTTGCTTCTCCAACTCAAAGCACTTCTTGCCCATTCCAATCTTGCTCTTTTATGGCCTGTAGCAACTTCATTCCACGATACGGTCGACGACAACGTAAACCGTATCTTTTCAGAACTCGTCTTACTGTTGCTTAGGATATATTGTACTCCCCGCCCGCTTTTTTGCAATTTCGAACAGATTTTTCTAAAATATCGCACAATTTTTTGTTTCGATCAAATAGACAACTTTTTATTTAAACTTTTAAAATGCAAGTAAAAGGTATTTATATGAACTCTTTCAGAAAAATGGAATCACATTTTTGACATCCGTTTCACAGTTTTCATTAAAAAGCTTTCAAGTTTTTCACACTGTTGAAATAAAAAAAAAGAAATTAGCAAGCTGAAAAATTGAATAATTCTGATGATGCGTTTTCAATGTCGCCCAGTATAATTTAGAGAACTCACTTCGTTCATTGCTCTTAAGCAGATGGGTTTAATTTTTTTACCATCATGTTTTGACCTCAATAAAACGTCCTAGTTCGAAGTCATCTTCGGCCATTTTATCATATTCCTTTCAATAATGTCTTTGGAGGTTAATACCTAGCTTAGTACGAAACATGTTAAATTTGAATATTTAATGTGATAATAGCAAATATAGTAGAAATATGAAGCCTGTTAGATTGAAAATTATACATTTTAAAGCAACTCAAGAATGAATTCTCTCCAAACAAAATGAACTTCAATCACTTAACAATAGATTTTTCTTCTCTTTTTTCAATTTGCTGTAGTTCCGTTCGTCAAAATTGTGTGGTTGGTGTTCGCTATAATATTGCTGCTTTTTAGTTGCTCGATCTCATCAGGCTCCATTTTCCCGTTTGCTAAATGTTCAGACGAGTTCACTGCGCCGTTCACAGCAGATGTTAGTAAGCTTTCGTTGTTTGGGTGGTTGAAGCATGTTGATAGGGGGTGTTTAGCTGCGAACGCTTCACTGACACGAACTTTCAAAGCATCCGAAACAGCTCCAAAAATAGCCGGGCTCCCGCATATCAGGTCGAAAAGCTCAAGGGAATCCTAGAACACAACAAGGATAGCCCGCTGTTGTGCAATTAGCACATGTTTTCCGACTGCAACGATTGAAATAAAAAAAAACTCGAAAATCAGAAAGTTTTCTAAGACTAAAAACTTTAAAAAAATCATTTTTTCGACAAAATTTTTTATTAAAAAATTAGCAAATGAAATGAGTAAATTATACAAATTAGAGATCATATTAACTAAATTGGTGTTAAAATTTTTTAGAATTGAGAGTTAATGTTATTCTCGTAAACTTCGTGTCATTTAGTTTGAAAAATGATAACAACCAAAACAATTTTTCTTAAATCTGAGACAACTTTTTCGATTTCATTTTGAAATCCAAATCACGGCTGAAAGGGCTTTAATATGATACTACTCTTGACAAACTACGAGCTTTCTTAATTTGGCGACAAAAAATAGGCTAATCCATAATTCCTTCACTTCACTTTCCAGTGACGCGGTTGGAACAATAACTAAGAGCTCAAGGAAGTGATACTTGGAAACTGCAAATAATCAAAAAAGTTGTATACCATTTTTACCTTCAATGAGGACTTCTTAGCTGGAATTGCATTTATGAGTGTTTCAATTAGATCTTCGGGGCTTTCCTTTTCCAATAGAAGTTTGACGCGCAATCCTGAAAAAATAACTTAGAATGCAAAGGTTTCTTGGACAATCAATTTGATAATTGATTATAAATTATCTAAATATGGAATGATAACCTACAATACAAATGATATTTTTCCGACTCATATACTTGATATTTTCCGACTGAAGATACAATGTTTGGTTGATAGTATAATATGACCATTTTCATACATACCTGACGAGTAATGTGGCAATGATTCTGAATGCTCCTCAATGAAACGTTCATTTGATGCTTGAAGCTCATTGGTTGTTGGTAAGAAGGCCTCTGATTGGCTAGTTATGACCTGCTGCAGGATTTCGTCCGTGTTGCGCGACTTCTGTACGAAGAGTGCAAATTTAACGATGCAGACATAGAGTTGAGCGTTTTTCGGGTCCAGTACATAAGCTCGTTTTAGTGACCGTAGCATCAAAAGAACCTTCTCTGTAAACACACCAAAATTGCAATCCACTCAACCATAAAACTATTTTAGATCTTCAGAATCAAAATCAAAAATTGAGAACAATTTGAACATCAGATGTAAAATTTTTCTCAACGCTGAAGATCGTCATTAAAATAAGAGACTTCAATTTTTATTTTAACGTCGATATTAAACGTCTAAAACATTTGAAACACAAAATTTGAAACTTTTCTTCTGCGATTATTAAAATCCGTGATAGAAAAATATGACAAACGAAATAATTTTTTCACCTTTTCTGAAGTACACTTCGAATGCCAACAAATGCGTGTTGATGCACTTGTCTCCGTAAGTCAACAGCGGCTTCAGGAATGCCTCTGCCTCGTGCAGGGGGTCTTCGGGTCTCTCCAGTTTACTCGGGATCAGTTCCGCAAAGGTCGGTCCCTCTGCGTCTCCGTCCTCCTTTCTCTGTTTCTGCAGCTGTTTTTGTCTCTCTTCCTCTTCCTTCTTCCGCTGATCTTCTGCTTTTTTCGCCTCTTTTTCCTGCTTCTTCCTTAGTTTCTTCAATTCCGTAAGGGAAAGCTTGGCTAAAGCCATTCATACGCTATTCAGTTAAGAGTAGAAACAATAGCCAACAGATAATGGAAAAAAGTCAAGGAAAACCGAAAAGAAATGATTCACTTTTTTCCAATCTTTCAATTTCCGATTTTCGGAAAAACAAACTGGACATACTAATTTAAGCTTTATAAATTTAAGAATCTTTCGTTTGACTTTTTTCATAAAACTAACCCTATTAAAAAACAGAATGATACGAAGAAACTAAAGTAATTCACATTTTTAAGCCATTTGAACTTTTGCTGTTCGAAAGTAGTTTGCCTTTCTTTCAGCAAATGAATTTGAATTGAACTCAAAATCAAATTCAAACCACGAAAAATCAAAACAAAAAACAAGACGACCTATACAAGTAATGAGTAAAATTCATCAACACTTTGAAATTCCAACCGTTAAGTGTAGTTTTACAAGTGTCGAAAATAACATATAACAATTCTTTCAAGAAGAAAATGAATATCATGAATTTGACGATCTCTCAAAATTTCTTGGTATGAATTAGAGGATAAAATATATATACTTTCTTTGACACTGGCTCAGATCTAGAAATTTTCCGTAACGGGGAGATTCTCAAAAAAATTTGACCATTTTTTAGGACGACCAAACTGATTTTCTGTGCTCTCTCAAAGCACCATAAAGACCCTATTTTGATTAAAATGAACGACATAAAATAGTACCAAATAGGCGACACTTTAGATGGTGAGAGGGTCGTTTCATAAATACTGTGGATATATATAACTCACATTCGTCGATAACTTCTTCTTTGTGCGGGTTATCGAAGATATGTAGGTACATCTGAAACCAAAAACAAAACATTAGCAGAGATACAGTTCGTATTTAATTTTTTAGTGTAGTATGCTAAATTACTTGGTAGTTTTGAAAATTTGACGAACTGAATCCATTAAAAAAACAGGTCAAAGTAAGCTGCCGTTATTTATATTCAGACATTGTCATTTCTATCCGAACAAAAGGTTAGGATCCAAAAAATCATTCGTATTCATATATTCCTATGACAATACCTTAATCGCCATGTCGGCGACTTTGAAGAAGAACCTCTGCTCGTATATCCGGTCTTCTAACTTCAGCAGCTGCACGTACGCCCTGAGAGTCATCTTGCGCATGGAGTAGGCATGGAAGTCGAACTGGCCCTCCCAGATTTCCTCGAAGTGACGCAACACCTGGTGACATTTCTTCAGGGCCTCCCCGAGGGTTCCCTTTCTCTGGTAGGCGGCGCCTGTTTCCGAGAGGAACCAGAGACACTGCATCTCGTTCAAGTTATCCACAACTTCCTGGCCTTCCTACGTGGAAATTTGTATCATCAACATACTCTTTTTGGTTTTCAGCCCTATTAGCTTCTAAAAAGGCAGTGTTTTGGATATTTTATTGGAATAAAGGTCCTGAAAAACAACTGAGTTCTCAAGATTGAGATGAGCATGTTGGAAGGCTATCAGCATCTACTTCAGGATGACGAGAATCACTTGAGAATCTAGGCTTTTCGCGAATGGACAGACGAGAGCCTTCAAAAACTTCGTTAACCTGTTTTTCGAGGTCAGCAAAAATGATCTTCATTAACTCTCAATCTTAAACATATATTATGAAGCTGAAAAAGGCTATCAGTGTAGCTTCAACAAGCAATTACTAATACTAGCAGTTCCGATCAGCGAGAGAATCAAAGGTAAGAAAAAGAGAACTAAGTTATCAGTTTAGACTGAATAAAAACACACGAACCCTGGTGAACTTTGAGCACATGTCTATGGCATCCTGCACTCTGCTTGCCCTGAGGAGATATTTTGCACATTTGCAGTTCAGATATCTGTCTGCGGTGTCAAGACTCTGACACTCTACCAGTGCCTCACACGCATTCTCGATATCACCACAATGCTACAAACACAACATAGCCGATCACCAAAATTGTATTTTACACTTAACAAATCACAATACGGGAAACTATAAATTCCTCACAATAACATAGCCAACAGAGTTGGAAAAACATCAACGCAAGTAAACAGAAAAAAAACTCACTTCTTTTTTGAAAACCCAACTTTCGAGTTTCGAAAAAAAAATAGACGACCTTAAAGCTCCTTAAACTTTATGATAGACTTTTTTTTATAAAATCAACCCAATTTGAGCAATAAGTAAACTTTTAAAATTGCTCGGAAAACTGATAATCAAAAAGTCTATATTCCGGGTTGGTAACACTTGCAAATCGCAAGCGTAATTACTTAGTTCACAGACCCATATGACCCCAACAAACAAAATTTCCAATCATACATATTATCGTACATAATAAATCGAACTTCTAATAAAAACTGTTTTTATTGTCCTATTTCCGTCAGTCTATTGAAGTGCGTAATTAAATCTCTATTTAGAAAATCAAACCGAAAAGCGAGCGTCCAAATAAATAAACAGCCACAACGCCGAAAATGAGAGCTAAAAACGCTGTCAAAATTTTCCCTGGCTAAAAACATTGAAAAAATTACGAATGATGTGCGTAGAGAAATCAATTCGGTTATCGACACTTTGAAACTCTAATGAAATGACACCGAACCCAAAAACCAGCTATCATGGGATTTTTCTAATGAAGTCCTAAAGCGGCAGTGAACAAAAACTTCAAGCAAAGTAAAAATAAACACATCAGCTCGTTCCATTATAGCTTCAGCAAAACATATCCCCCATAATACAAAAAATCGTATTGTGGTAGGGCTATATTAAATTTTAACTATGCGGGGTGATATAATATTTAGAACACGAATGATAAAAAAAATCAAATTAAATCAGAAATCAAGCGTAGAAAACTGACTATAAGAAAAATGTCGACACATTTTGACTTGTTTGAAGACCATAAATTTTTGCTCTAACAAACTGAGCATAGCCAATAATAAATTTAGGCTTTCAACAAACTGTTGTTTCGATTAAACCAATGATATCAGATCTGTCAGGATAGTTATCGAGAAAAGTTCACACAATGGTCGACAATTCAAAATATTGACATTTATGAGAATCATAGCTTTTTGTATAAAAATCTTGGGCAAAACAAATTATGCAGAAGGGATTTACCCAACCTGTAATTTTGATTGAACCTAAAAGCTCAGATTTGAGAGGGTAGTTCTCGAGAAAACTCGGAAGCTTTCAAGAAAACGGTTTAAAAAAACAAAATTTGACTTTTCCTAGGGCCATAACATTTGATGTCAGAAAAATTTTGGCATAGTCGCATAAACAAATATGCTTCCGGCAACCCGTTTTTCATATTGAGCCCAAAATCTGAGATAGCAGACTAGTTTTCGAGAATATTCATAAAGTTTAAGAATCGGTCAAAAAATCAAAAATTTGACTTTTCCGAAGGCGATAACTTTTTATATAAACCGTTTTGTAAAGGGCTGCTAATGCAGGGGACCTTCCTACTTCCCGTTATCACATTTTAACCCACAGTATCAGATTTGAGAGGTTAGTACTAATATTTTGAAAATCAGTAGAAGATTCTGAGAACTAAAATTTTTTTGGCAAAATTGAAAAATTTTTAAAAACAAAAAAGAAATTTCAACAAAACGATTAGTGAATATACAACCAACTTGAAAAGTGTTCGGGGCAGTAGTGTTAAAATGCGTTTTCCTTTTAACGACCCATAATTATTCAAAAAAAACATGTACGGGTCAGATTCAAACCCAGGACCTTTGCCGTCAAAACTTTTGTGAACCAAACCAACTGTGACAGTTTACAGAACACAAAAGAAATAATATTCGTCCGCTTTAAGTTTTTATTGAGAGTTTGGGGCGGGCTAAAATCGAGCAACTTCTATCAAACTCTCGGAAAATTGATTCCGATTTCGAACGTTTTGCCTCTCTCTCTCTCCACATAAATTCAGAGATGCAAATCAATTTGGGTTCTAACTAAACAGCATTGGCGTTTATTTCTTTTTTGCGTTGCTCCTTTCAGACTCAATAGAATTTGTGTGACAAAAGATATTGGGTCCCCATAAAATTTTGTGAGTGATTGACAGATTTCCACTATCTTTTTTGATATAAGATTTTCACTCATCCGAACAAATGGAGGTTCGGGGCGTATAGATTCTCTTATTATAGGTATGAGGGTTGCTGCCCGACGATCGTGTACGGCGTATAGTAAATCTTTCGTTTCTCGACAATATTCCCCAAAAACCCTGTTCGGGGGAAAGTTTTACGAGGTTGATTTTTCGGTGTGAAAAAAAAACGTTCGCCAGTTACCAAAAATTTCTTTCTCCTCCATTGACAGTCAGTTTTTCCATCACTGACATCGCGCAAATTTCTCCTTTATAAAAGTTCCAACAAACCGTCGAAGTTTGGCTAAAATCGAATTCGTTTTCGCAAAAATTTGTAGTCGTAAGCTAGTAGGCCCACGAATAAAGAAACAAAACAATGTCTTCCAATAGTTGCCTGGTAACATCCAAAAACGCATCTTTTTTTAGACCATTACTTTTAGAATAACCCTCCTTACGGCAGGGCCACATGTCATTTTTTTCAAAAGTTTGTAATTCCATTGGCTGACCGTTTGAAAAAGTTCCAGAACAGCTGACAATTTCATTTTCTTGAAGCCACTTAACCCATGTATTTTTGTCACAGCATAGTTTACTGTGACACTTAGTTGCTCATTTGAAAAATAGCATATTTTTGGTCAATTTTGAGTTTTTCGGCGAAATGAGCTTCGGTATAATAATGATTTCAAGCTTTTTGTCTCGGCTGGCTTCATTTCCAACCACTGAGAATTGAGCAATTACATCTCAAGTACTCCCGTTTTCAAACTTGTCAAAACTATCTATTTTGAGCCGTATAACAGAAAAGACCCGGCAATCACAATAATTTAACATGTAATAAATTATGCGATTCAAAAATTCCGCGAAGTAGATCGAGTTGGAAAAATTCTGAAATGGGATTTTAATTAGTATAGTGTTGTATGAAACAAATAGCTTTTTCCGGTTCAATTGATGAATTAAAAAAGCATCTACTGTGTTAACTTAATACTAATCAAATGTAAATTCCCATGGTATTATAATGCTAATGCATGCAGCCTACTGATTCATAAGGCCACCAAAAAAGCACTTTAATTTGCGAATTAGGTTGGAAACAAATTGGCATCGTACTATCACACCACGCTCCGCTCGTGTTTTAAGAAGGAAAAGGAAAAAAACTTAATGAAAATTTTTGAACATGTTTCAGCTTTGAAATTTCTAAGCGCAAAAATTTATCATGTTGGAATGCTCTTTGAATTTCAAATACTGTTCATTATTGGCAATTTTTCTTAAAGTTATCCCATATAGAGAAAACTGGATCAATAGGTATTTTTTTCAGTTCCATTTAAAGTCTAATTTTCCATTTTTGAAGTCAGAAGTCGCACATTTTTTCGCAACTTTTTCAATTTTGCTGTTCAGTAGTGAAGTCTGCCTTTATTTTTAAAAGGAAACGAAGTAAATTTTAAAAGAAATCATAAGTAAGACCGCAAAAAATCAAGCTTCAGCGTAACAAATTTGAACTGTTTCCTGAAAAAAAATTAACAACTTGATACGTGAAAGACACTTGGTTCTTGTAAGCTTAATCAGGTTTGTGGCTATTTGCAAATATGGGTCATATGATAACTTGTACAAACTTTCAGTATCTTCGCTTTGACCAGAAGCAATTCCAGTAATGTCGGAGTGTGCTCTATTGCTTCGTTGATGCACTCTAAGGCCTCCTTCTGTTGGTCCCCGATGTAGTCGTAGTGCTGGGCTAGGAAGTGAAGCACCCAGAGAACAGTAGTTGGCGAGGTCTCCAGAGCTTAAAAAACCCAGTCGGTACAACAACATTTCCATACAAAACAGTCCGAAGTAATAACTTTCTGTGAAAGTCGATAAAATTGATTGAAATCAAAACAGAAGCATCTGGATTGGTCGCAAAAGTCGCGCGACCATACCTCCTTTACCAAACGCAAGCGCGGGGGAGCACGTGGTGGTCTCTTCTTGCCAATTTTTCTCGGTTGAAACCACCAATTCATTCGAATTAACTTGCACTGTTTTGTATCGGGCTGTCTGGCATTTGCATCGAAAAAACTAAACTGTAATTTATCAGAACGCTGATTTTTTTTGTTCCGGTTGTTTTTTCTACGCAAAATTAGCTCGAGAACTATATCAATTGAAGCCTTTTCATCCCTGATTTGAGATGCACAAAACACTGAGAAATTTCTATCGGTTTCAATAGAAAAAACATAGCCAAAAAAATAGATGCACTTTAAGCTCTTTGAAATTTTAGAACGATTTATGACTGGCGCTTTTTTGATAACATTAACCCAACTTGAGAAAACTGGACCAACAGGTAAAGTTTTTTATTCCGCGGAAAATCTATAAATTAATTTCCACTTTCGAAACAAATCTTTCACATTTTTTGAGACATTTCCACGTTCGTATTTAGAGAGTGATATTTACGTCACTTTCAGCAGATGAATTTCAATTGAACTCAAAAAATGCATATATAGGTAAGTGCATTGATAAATGCATCAATATGCATGAATGCACATCTGAAGTTATTAGTGCATTTTAAGACTTTTTCCTGAAAAAAAAAATCACCAAGACCTATATAAGAGTCTTCACTAAGTTCACTAGTCTTAAAACATTTTTTGAGTAATTTCGCCAGTCAGACTAAATTTTACGTTCTAAAGGAGTCTATAATAATCTAAGAAGTTCTTTCTGTAAATAAATATATAAATCAATATAAGAAATTCTGGAGGCTCGGCGCCTCCATATAGAAAAAGTAATTTATAAACTTGCGGTACAACACTAACATAGTATTGCAAGCTAGCAGACAGAAGACGAGCCGGAAGCCACTAAGTCGAAGAAATTATTATTTAGTTCAAAAATTCAAGAAAAAATTTCAGATATCTGTCTCCAATATCAAAATTAGCGGAAAAGACACAAACAGCGCCGTCAAATGAGCATTCAGAATCATTCCCCGAGATGAAACTGAGCCAACAATACTTGGGTAAATAAAAACGAAAGATTGTCACTCGAAAACATGACAATAAATATTTTTTTCCTTCTAACGAGACAAAATTAAGTAACTAAGTCGACAAAGTGCCAGGCCGGCCATATTTAAGCAAAAAACACAAACTTCATAATTATAAAAACTAAAATATACAATTTACTGAGTGACTATCCGAGAGACACTTGAAAAAATGACAATGATCAGAGAGAGACTTATTTTTGGATCAAAAGAAAAACTGGATCAATAGACTAATTTTTTTGAAAATTAACTTTCAAATTTTATATAAAAAAAATGACTTCAAATCCCTTTGAAATTCAAATTATGATTGAACTTTAGCGCTAAAATTGACCCAGTTCGAAAAAACTAGATCATCATGCTAGTACTTATTGCTCTGAAAAATCTAAAAAATAAAATCTACATTCAAAACTAGAAGTCGTTCACATTTTTAGACTAGTGCGCAAAACTAAGCGCAAACTCAAGTTTTTCTCTCTAAAATACCTGCTTTCAAGGATATTTTGGGCAACATTCACAAAGCGGTTAAGCAAAATCTTACATAAACAAAGAGCAAATGATCCAGAGCTGCCCTATATGCAATTAAAATTGAATTTCAAGAAGTTTTCCGTGACTGAAAATGCCAGCTTTCACTTTTCACCACCTGCACTAAGTTTTTCATCGCAGTGAACTCTTTTTCGAATAAGTTGTTCATGCAATGTGAAATACTTAATCGATATTATTGAATTTTTCAATGTGATAACTATACTTAACTCAGCTGTTTCTTACAACTTCAAGCGTTTTAAAAAAAACTTAGTGAAGATGAAGAAAGCTGGCACTATCGGACCCAAAAAAAACTGGTAACTCCTTGAATTCAAATTTTGATAATTCCATAAAGGGCAGCTCTGGATGATTTGCTCTTGGCCTATGTTAAAAAAATTGTTGTTCAAAAACATCACAGTGAGTGTTGTTCAAAAACATCCTCGAAAGCAGGCATTTCAGAGAGAAAAGCCTAAATTTGCGTGTACCTTTGTCTACTTGTGCAGTAACTGTTCTTGAACAGAACTTAAAAAGAAGTTAACCGCAAAAAAAATCTAATTTGAGCGTGAAAAAAACACAAAAATGCGACACCGCGCTAAAAGTATCCTCACTACAATCATTGAAAACTCAACATAAAACTATCTCTCAGGGTCAACTCATTTTCTGAGGGTATCAGCTGGCCTATGCGGTGTCTAATAACCTTATCAATTTTTTATGGAAAAACAATATAATTGCATAAGTTACACTTACTTGTATCTGATTCGTGAAATTTACTAGAAGACTGCAGCGTTTTGTAGTAGCCCAAAACAACACTGCCAATTATCGAAGCCTGATAAACAAAAAACACACCAAGTCAACTACACTCTCAAGCAAATGACAGCAGTCTAATTATTCTACTGAATCTTCTGAAAGAGAAGATGGACTAATTACCTTTTCTGGATCTTCGTAAAGAGGTTTCACACTTCTGAATAGTGCTGGTAGTCCTTTGACAAATGCCTTTCGCAGATATGTGTCCAGTGCAGAAACGAATCTACACGAATGATCATTTTTGCATTACTTTCAAAAAATCTGGTTAAAAATATCCATAATGAAAGAATCAAAATCGAAACAAGAAATTCCTAGTACGAAATATTCAAACCCTTTTTATATTCTTGCGCCGCTGATCTGATCTATTTCAAAGATTGAAATATCTTGACGGGATTTGATGAGCATGCTTTGCTCGATATAAATAATTTACCTCAAAATTAATTATACATTTTTTTCTCAGACTTCAACGATCTATTGACCAACCGTTCGTTTTTAAAATACTGCAACTCGAGTCGTTTCGGGGTATCGTAGCGGGGATAAAGTGTCTTCATCTGGGAGAAAAACTCGGCCAATGTTTCCTCGTCATCACTCACTCTCATCAGCTCAATTAGACTCTTGTAGTAGACTGGATTGTCGGGATTGCGCATCAACAGGTTGCGACTCAGGGACACCGAGTTAGCTTTGTCCTCTTTCAGTCGGTGGAGAGACACTAAAACAAAGAGTAATAAGTGCTCTGTTCAAAATTGCATTGAACGTGAGTTCTATAAACATGGCCGCCAGACATAAAATTTAGAACTTCCGAGCATAAAATAGTAAAATATAGCTACGTAAAACTCTTTTGAGTTATCAGACTTTCGACTGATTGACACCTTTTTGGTTGAACTAACCCAATTTGAGAAGTCTGGATCAACAGGTAACTTTTTTTTATCCCGCGGGGAATCTAGAAAGAACTTCTATTTTTGAAAACAATAATACACATGTTTCTGCGTATGTCCACTTTTGGAACTGAAGAGCGTACTTTGTCTTCATTTCACCAAATGAATTTGAACACAGAGGCGAAGCTGAGCTTCACACCACTTTCAATATAACAAGTATAGGATTAAAACAACAAGCGATCAAGAACTATCAAAGAGGACTAAACGTTGTTACCGTAGGATAAACAAAAAAAAATAACACTCAAAAGTTTTTCAAGTTAAAATTTATTGAAGATATTTTTAAGAGTTCCGATTAGGAGTAATTTTTGGCATTCGAAAATTTGGGACCCAATTCTTATCGATCTCATAAATTATATCCGAAATTTGTACGAACCAAAACATTCGGTAAATGAGCCGACGGAATTATAGCCGACAGCCAATCAGCTCAAAATCAACTTAAATTATTCGGCAAAACAAATCTCATTGAAAAAAAACATAAACTGCCTAAGCAAAGGCAAAATTAGCATCGTAGCAAACCTTACCAAGCGGTAACAAAGCCGCAAAAACTTAAGCAGAAACCCTTTATATAAGAAAAATCGAAAATAATCTCAACATAAAAAAATTTACGTCCCCCTACCCTTTAGAACGCATACACGCACACAATTTTTTTTTGTTTAAAACACAAGAGGCCACTATGTCGATATGAAATCAGTCGAAAACTGTTAAACCGAAAAAAGAATCGACAAATCGAGTTTTGGCCGGATATTTAAAATAACAAAACACATAAGCAACATTGAAAATTGAGCACAGCAAAATCAACGATTCTTAGATGTGGCACCTGCGCCGAAAAAAAACGTAAGCAGATAAATATTAGCTCGACAGGTATACTTCAAAAAACAGGTTCCGTTTGAAAAAAAAACAAGGTCCTGGTCAATTTTGAACCCAGTACATTTGTCGTCCCAGTTGTATTCGTTAACTCCAGGCTAAGTAAGCAGGAGAAACTAATTAAGTTGGTTTCATTATGAACCACGCCAGGAGATGATTTTATATCAGTCCTGTGAACAAAGTTTTTTACGGAAAAAAAGTAAGGTACCCGATTGTAACACCCTGGTTAGGGTAAAAAAGGATCTTCAGAAATGTTCAAATCTTCATATTGCTTTTGTGTTGAAAAAATTGCTAAGAAAAACATTCCAAGTAAGGCAATTGAATGCTTATCATGAATTGAAACAAAATTTAAAAAGGGAACAACGCCGAAAAAAACTTCAGCAGACACTTGTTGAGCCCAAAAACAAACTTGATAAAATTCAAAATTCACAAAATTCAAAAAAAAAATTAAGTCTACCTTCAAAAAATCAGACGAAAACTTTCTTTCGCTCATCAGTCGAAAATAGGCCGGTATAACTCGAAATTAGGCCGCTAAGCTGATATAAAACATGAGAAAAAACCGAAAAAATGGATACTGAACTCGAGTTGATAAATTAATCAATTTCTTTTCCTAGCAGTATGGATTCAGGAAAAGAAGATCTTGTATCACCCAGCTCCTGGGGTTTATCGACGCTGTTCATTCAAACCTGAATCGTCGCCACAACGTTGAAGTGATTTATACAGATTTTGAGAAAGCGTTCGATAATGTTGATCATCAGATTCTTATTGCTAAACTGCACAGTTTTGGAGTACGAGGCAAACTGCTCGAGCTTCTCAAGAGCTACCTATCCAAAAGAACGCAAAAAGTTCGGTGGATGTTCTCCAGTTCCATACCTGTGGCCAGTGGCGTGCCGCAAGGCTCCTTGTTAGGACCCCTCTTGTTTTTAATTTTTATCAACGATTTGCCTGATTCTTTACAGTGCTTTGAGCCATACCTTTGTGCTGATGATGCTAAGTTTCTTTCTGTAAATACAAACAAGGTGCTGATAGAAACAGATCTTTCCTTAATTTGCAATTGGTCGCTACTAAACATGATAAATTTTAATGTTGATAAATGTGTGGCGATGACTTTCTCGCGCTCATCGAGTCTGAAAGACTGCCAATTTGTAGGTGCCCCAATCGTTTTTGCACAAGAGCACAAAGACTTGGGTCTCTATATCGCTGACAATTTGAACTGGGACGCTCATGTTGAAGAAAAGTGCAGTAAAGCAAATAAAGTGTTCTCCATGATGAAGGGAAATTCCCCTCACATTTCCGTGAAAAGCAAACTCAATCTATACAAAACAATGGTGCTGCCCATTATGATGTATGCGAGTTGTTGCTGGCACGCCTCGGTCCGGTCAATGAGAATTCTCGAAGCAGTTCAGAAGCGTGTAACGATGTGGATTCTCCCACATTGTGAAAATTACAAGGAGCGTCTGTTATTTCTCAACCTTCTCCCTGTTTCGCTTTATTTGCAACTCACGGATTTGCTCATGCTGTCAAAACTTATTGCTGGTTGCATACAGTGGCATACAGAATGAACTTTAGACAAAATCAACTTGAATTCAATGTTGAGCGTTCTTCGTCTATCAAAAGGAGATACCAATTTCTGGTGTCGTGCACCGCGACTGGTGAACAAACTTCCTGCAGCGATAGATTTCTTCAATCCCATTAGTCTTGAAGGAAGACTTATTAGTTTTTTCTGGTGCTTCTTTAAGGAAAAATACAATGAGAAAGTTTCGTGCTCCTGGAAGCTAGCTTAAGACTGTGTTAAGAACGGTTGCCGTTTTTCTGTAAATTTGTATCTGGGGGAAACCCCTTTGTAACCTTCGTTACATAAACTCCTTTTAATAATAATAATAATAATTATAACCAACATAACAAACAAATTTTGACAGAGAATCGGAGCTTCGCAACAGTTGCGATACAATTTAAACCTTGAATTGCTAGAAGTCATTTTTTGAAATATCAAGCTAAGAAAATTACTTTAAAAAATTCGAAAACTCTAAATCTACAAAAAAATTATACCTTTGTTTCGGATGAGACTTATGAACAGCCTTAGCTAGAATTGATAATCAATGACCGATCGGTAAATGAAGCAAAAACCTTAGGTCGGCGCTCATTAGTCTGAAAACGAAATTATAGTTATTAGAAAAATTACATCTATCCCTATTAAAACGGGCAAAATAAATTTAAAACTTCGCCCATGAAATTACGCAGCATAAGCCAATATAAGATAAGCCGAACCCTATGAACCAAAAAAGTATTCAACGTCAAAGCTGATAAATTACAAACAACAGAACAATTTCACAAGGTGCTCATCTATAAGTGGAAGTACCAGTTTGGTTTTTGCCAAATTTGAGGTACATCTGCAGGATGAAATGAGTAAAATCAAAAAATGGTCTTCACCCAAAACCTTAGTTGTTTCTCTAATAAAGTGAGTGAAGTTTTTGAGAAATTGGAATTTTTCTTAAACTTTAGGAGTAGCCGTTTACGAACGGAGGCTTCCCACAGACCATAGCCTAGTTTAAACCCATGATATCATACTCGGCTGAGTTGTTTCCGAGAAAACTCGAAGCTTCAAAAAAAGATACCTCGAAAAATATATCAAAACATTGAATTTTCTCTTTTCATAACCATTTGGTACCAAACAATTGGACAGATCCTCTTACCAGGGTAGCTTCTCTCAACTCTTTCTTTTGATTGCACCCAAAATGTCAAATTTAGGAGAGAGTTTTCGAGTAGCTTCGAAAGTTTCAAAGACGGACATTTCTGAGATATAACTTTTTGTGCGAAACAATAGGCTTAGCCGCTGAACAATAGGCTTAGGAGCTTCCAACGGCTCAATCTTTTGATTGAATCCAAACCTCAGATTTGGGAGGGTAGTTTTCGAGAAAAGTCAAAATGTTTACAAACACCAGTCAAAAAACCAAAAAATGAATTTCCCAAGGACCAAAGCTTTTTGTGCTGAAAAAATTTAGGCGTAGCCACTGATGTACTTGTTTCTCGCAGCTCATTCTTTTGATTGAACTCAAAATTTCAAATCAAGGAGGGCAGTTTTTGAGACAACAATATTGACTTTTCCGAGGTCCATAACATTTGTGTTGAAAATTTGGTTATAGCCGCTTCTACAAGGGCACTTTAAATAACCTATTTATTCGATTTGACTCAAAATCTCAGATTTGGGAGGGTAGTTTTTGCGAAAACTCAGAAAACTTTTAAAATGTTCGAAAATCACAATTATGACATTTTCGAGGAGGATGACGTTTTGGGTAGATAAACTTGGGCATAGCCGCTAATTCAGGGGAGCTTTTCACAATTAGTTATCTCCATTGATTTCAAAATTTCACATTCGACTTTTCCGAGAACCATGATGTTTCTTGAGAAAAAATGGACATAGCAGCTGATGCAGAGGAGCTTTCCTTGAGACTGCTTTTGATTGATCCAAATTTGGGTCAAAAATGCCCCCAAAAGACTTTTTCGAAGGTGCTTCAGAGCCTCCACATATCCAGTTTCTTAATAAAATGTATTTTGACACAACAGAAGTTCACTACACTAAAAGTTTCTTTCCTGAAATTGATAAGTTTGGTTTGTCGAATAAATCAAAAACACGTTTTTGCTTTAACACTTATGAGACTAGGCGTATATGCAGGCACACAAGGGAGCGAGCGGTCTTTCCATTAAAACTATCTTTTGGCAAAACTAAACAGTCGTTTTTGAGAAAAACTAATTTTTTTGAGAAAATTGAAAACAAAAAATCCAGTCAGAAACAAAAATAAAAAATAAAAACCATATCCCATACGCTTTCATAATACATGTTTTTGCCAAACCAAAACAAACTGTTTAAATCATTATTTAAAAACCTAAGCTTTGGAAAGAATATTATTGATAAGCGTACAAGATAATACGAGGTGTACTTGAAAAAAAGAACGGACAAGTTGAGACGAAAATAAAAAAATATATATTAAAACAATTAATTAATACTTCAACTGAACTAAGAAACAGCTTAAATTGAATTTTTAGGAGATTGAGCATGGCTGAGCAGCAGCAGACATTGCGAGCATAAAGTGTCAGAAAAGTTGTAAAGGGGAAAAAGTGTAGTTCTCGATTACAAGTCACTTGCTCTCACACGTGAAAAAAAGAAAGGCACATATTCTTTAAAAAAAGAAAGGCAGATATTTACACAGAGGCGAAGCTTCGCTTCACAATCACTAACGAGAACACGACAAAAAGCAGCTCTATAAATTGCAATTAAAAAAAGTAGCAATAAGCCTCAAATTAGTAAAAATGCGGCTACTTCTCGGAGTCGATCTGCGACCTAGAAAATATGACGCTTGATTATTCACAAACGCTAGCTTCAAACAAAGCAGAAAACAGATGCTATGAAATTTCCAATGCTTGATCGTGATTATAGCCAAAGTGCCACCAAATAAGTGAACAGTTTCCACTTTCAATGAACGCTTTTACAGTTTTTACATGTTTAAATTCAGATATGCTTAAAATTTGTCTCTTAGTTGACGAAATACGAGAATTAGAGATGACACCAATTTGAGTCATCCTGTGATCAAGGTTATTTACGGGAAAAAAGTCTAGAACCCGGTTGCAACACCCTCGCTTATCGCAAGGGTCATATAGATTGAGGTTATCGCATCATTGCAAAAAAAAACGTTTTAACTAAAATTTCATTGAGTTTTTATCCGAGAGGAAAACATACAGCAGACATTTGGTTCATTGATTTCCAGTACTCACATTTATATTCTGTCAATGCCAGTTTGTCAACTATGTGCTCGCTATTTTCGTTCAAGTGCTTCAGAGCCGCGTCCACATATCCAGCTTCTTGATAGATTGTATTTTGATACAGCAGGAGTTCACTGTACTCGAAGTTTCTTTCCTGGAATTGATAAGTTTGGTTGTTGATTAAATCATACATACCTTTTTGCCTTAAACATTGGTATTTATAAAATGTTTTTCCAAGAAAAAAGCCAACAAACCGTGTCCATAACTCTGAGTTGATCCAGAAGTTTGATTGCAACGTCGTACTCTTTCAGTAGATGATGGGCAATGGCATATGCAATCCAATTAACGCGATGACTTGGTCTTAAGCCTAGTAGGGTATATCTGGTCTCTTTGAAGGCATTTAAATCCCTTATGTGCACTTGTAGCATCGACAGATCTCTCAAAATTTGTAGATTTTCCTATAACACGAAAGTTTAACTTTTTGGTTAAAGATAAACATTTCAGTGTCAAAAATTCATAGAGAACAAACAATGTTAAAATGAGCGAGCGTTCAATGAAAAAGGTTTTACCTTATCCCATTTTAAGGCATTGATGTAGCATTTGATGGCTTTCTCGTAATTCCTGTCTGATCTCTCAATTAACCCAGATACATGCCAGCAAACGTGACTTTTTAAATTGAACAATAGTCCCTGTTTAACAAGCTCTCTTGCTTCTGTCTTTTTGCCAATGCAGCTGAATATCAAACCTTTCATGGCAATAGTTTCTAGAACAACAGTAAGCCTGATGAACATAACCTTGGCCGCAATAGAAAAGAAAGACGGGGACTACTTATGAACATACCTCCATGTTGTGCGCAATTTGGATTTCCAAGAATCTGTTTAACAAGTTTCAACCCATTTTTGTATTGCTTCTGTTCACATGATTTCTAGACAAAAAAAGCAGTTAACATGAAGCCCAATTATTTGAATAAAAATTTTGTCAAATCTGCTTTTACCATCAACTTTTTGAAAAGAGTATTTTCCTTCGCAGGAAGCGTTTGAGAGTTGTTTCCGGACATAGTTCAAAAAGACACATACAGATGACAAACACAATCTGAAAGTAATTATCATTCAGCTTATTATTGATGAGCCGCAGATATTTCTGAAACTTTTGTTCCTCAATGCCCACAGAATGATGTCAACTTTTTCTAAACCAAAACCATACCTTAGGATGCAAAGGCAAAGGCGTTACCCCTAAGCCAATTAAAAGAAACCTGAGAGGCGAAGCAACACAGAGGCGAAGCGATACCACAAACATATCACATTAGCAGACAGAAAAATAAACTAACAAAACAGAAAAATTTTCGGAAAAATCACTTAAAAATGTTATCTGGAATAATGTTTCATTTGCGAAACACAAGTCCAAAACTCAAAAACAATAATGGAGCGAAAATAAAATTGTTGTCATGAAAATCATTAAACTATCAATTCCATTCGGCAATTTTTAACGTTTCGTGCGATTCGGAGGAAAGCATGCATATTATGGTTCCCAAAAATATAAGCCGAATTCAGTTCGGCCCAAAAATTGTTTAAGCAAAAAAGAAGAAAATATACACTAGTCGGCAAAATTAAGCGCAAATTCATGTTTTTCTCTCTGAAATTTTTTTGGAAAACAAGTTAATTAAAATCTAAGCAGTATAAGATTGAATCAAACAATGCATCTAAAATGCGTTTTCACGGATGATTTTGGACAACTTTCACGTGGAATTTAAACAAAATTTTTACAAAGATCAAGAGACTGTGATCAAAGTTGCCCTCTATGAAATTATCAAAGTTTTGTTTCAAGGACTTACCAGTTTTTTCCGGGTCTGAAAATGCCAGTTGTCACTCACCATCTGCACTGAGTTTTGCATCCTAAAAAACTTTTGCTCGAATGTAAGAATTTTGTTAAAATTCAAAGAAAATTTTGTCCAAAATGGTCCGTAGAATAGGCTGCTAGAGAGTAACAAGACTGTTCGTGTATCAGGGCGAAGCCCTGAAAGTTCCGACTGCACTTAAGGTATTGACAAAATAATTGACAAGATTTTTTTTTCATTTTATCCACCCATACGCTATGTTTAATACTAAGGAGATGTTTAGCCTACACCGTACTGTGATAATAAGATTAAATTGATTCATCTTCAACGTAAATCAACGCATTGATTAACATCTTACGCGTGTTATAAGTACGCAATAAATCGCACTATAATCGGAACAATAACCTGAAACTTGCATTTAATTTTCTCCACTAGAGTACGGAGTCAAGGTTAAAAGAATTACAAACTGCAAGAGTAACTGAAAAGAAACTACAATGAAAACTGCATACGGGAAAAATTCTAAGATGTGGCAACTAAGAAAATTTTTTGAAAAAATCATTAATAAATTCATATACCGAAAATAAAAGCATTGGGGATGGGAACTTTGAGTTGCATTGGGATGATTAAAGTTTTCTGAAAACTTTTGAAACAAAATCACAAAAAAAACGTTATTGCAAAAATTAAAGTTTAGAGCAGCCATTTGAGAAGGCAAAATTCGCAAACCTTGAGAGTAATCTGACAGCGCCTCATTATAGAAATGGCAATTTTAAATTTTGTGAAATTTGAGAAAATCATAATGTTTCTGAAACTTTTTGAGAAATTAGAAACATGCAAACACTGAATCCAATAGTTTACCCATTAAAGAATCAGTTTATAAACATTTTGTTAATTATTTCTAATAGTTTTTTAAAGAAGTTTTCAGTCGGAACATAGACCATGGCACATTGTGGTTTGGCTCTCCAAATTTTTTTGATAAATTCTCCAAGTGTTTCGTAAAAGTTGACATTCGCATGCAAATTTCCAGCTGCATACCGTTTCTAGCTGCATAAAAATTGTGATATAAATGACAAAAAAAAACTCAACAGTCTCACTACTATGTTTATGAGAGACTGATGTTCTTAATCCTGTTTTGGATTGTAGAAACTTATTTCATCGGTCAGATGATTGGCTAATTTTCATTTTTGATAATTTCGGTTGTTTTCGATGAGTTGTAAGTCAATCTGATCAGAAAATTTAGTCCAAAATTTCGACAGTTAGAGCAATTTCACGAGTTGTATGAACAATATTAATGAAAGAAATTTGGCTTACATCATAAATTCCTTGTAGTTTGTTTGATAAGCTATCAGCCTAATCCATTTTATGACAACTTTTAGGAAGTTTTCAGGTTCGTTGATTCAGGCTCTCGAGACTGATACACACGGTGATGCACAAAATAAAAATGAGACAATCTTCGATTTGTAGAGGCGGATTTTGACAAATGCTCGTGCTTTGTATGATACACTTTTTCTATTACAACAAAAATCGTTGTTACCTTTTTTCCGTTTTTTGTCAGCGTTGCAATTCTGGCCGAGGTTTTGCTTGAAAGACGCCCAAATGTTTTACTGAGTGCAATTTAATTATGGTTCTGTTGAATGACCTAAAATTAGGTTAGCAACCTAAAAAAATAATCCGAAATCACATTGGCCGAAAAATTTTCCAAGCGAAGAAAGACCAAAAAAAGAAAATATACGAAATCAGTCTTAGCCAAATTATAAATTGCAGGATTAAATGGGAACACAAAATACAACAAGGAAAAAAGCACAAAGCAAAATATCTATGATGTGGCAACTAAGCCGACAAAACATAAGCAGACAAATTATAAGCTGACAAGTTTTTTTAAACGGAATATTTCCCGTTTAAAAAAAACAGGTCCTGCTCAGATTCGAAGCCAGAAACTCTGCTCGCCCACGCGTAATCGTTAACTCAACAATAAATGTGATTGGAACGGCTAAGAGTTTGGTTTCATTATGAAACAAATTAACAATTGATGCTGCTGAGCAGATGTTAACCCGAAAAAAAATTCTATACTCCGATTTGAATCGGAGTGTGAAAAATATTGAATAATGTCATATCTTGAAAACCATAAAGACTTTAGCAGTCAAATTTCGACGAAAAGTTGATAGCCCTGAGACTACCCTGACAGCACCTAACTACCGGGTTGGGAATTTCGAATTTCGTTAGTTTTTTAAATCTAAGTTTCCTGAAAGTTTTTTTTTGAAAAACCATAAGAAACGTCATGTCCCTGACAAAAAAACTGAAAGGATTTGAGCATTCATATTTGGAAGCAACTTTCGCAGTGCCTGAGAGAACCCTGAGAAAAAAAGTTGTCTCACAATTAGGTTGGGAAGTTCAATCTTCGTGAACTTTTTAATATCAAAGTTCTTCGAACAAATTTGAAACTTTTGTAAAACTTGGTCTAATCTCTGAAACTAACAATATTTGGGTTTTCATAATTGGAGGAAAAAATTGCAAAACCTGGAGGAAAAATGCTTAAAAAACAATGAAAAACCTTAAACATGGCGAGATAGTAAAGCCCAAATATAAATATATAATATATTATCTGGAACAGCAGTCTTGTGAGAAAAATGTTGAATTTTTTAAATATCAATTAGAGTTGTTGTTTTTGTAGATTTCTAAAATTTTTCAATTCTTCGCTGTTTTTCTTCGCTTTTAAATCCAACCAGTTGTGGCAAGATAGGGTATCTTTTCAGAAAAACAAATATTTTAAGTATTTAAAACGTTTTAAACATGTTTAAATCACCTTATTATCTCAGAGCAAAATATTCTCAGTACGAAAAAAAAATAATTATAAAATTATCCGTTAAGCACTCTTACGCTGAAAACTAACTTAACCATTGTTACTACTATGATATAGTGGTCCCACGAAAAAGCAACAATGATAGACGGGTCCTGCATGCATTTCGCATGTTATAATTTTGAAAACTAATTTGTGTTTAAATTATTCATTTCAAAAATCTTGAACTATCTTCTTTATATCAAGAAATTAGCTCAATCCAACTTATTTTACGGTTAAACAACCATAATGGGGTTATTTATAACTTATTTGTCATCATAACTCAAGGTTAGGAGTCTTTTTGAAAATTCCACCTTAAAAAGGTAAAGAGGGAGGTTCTACGAAGTAACGAAACAGAGAATTGGTTAGAAAATATACTGCGGCACCTTTCAGAATTGCAAAATCACAATTATAAGACGATTTGAGCCCTAGGTGTCTTATTAGCAAGGGACCAGGTTATTTTCAAGGGACCACTATCATAGCAGTACCTCCCCATTTTCTCCGGTGCTAGTCTATTGGTCAAGTCAGAATGCACAAAGCCCATCAAACTGTGCAACGAACGTGCAATGCTGATCAGAGCCTTCAAAAGATGGCTGGTAAAGCTTGTCACTAACCTGTGATTCACTTTTGGTTCAGTAAAAAAAACAATGAGAAAAATTCTGAAAGAAATAAGTGTATAAAACAATGTTTAAAACATGTTTAAACCATCCTTTGTTTGAAATAAGCCAACTCTGAATTCAACTGCTTACACAATAAACGGCCAATTTTAAAAAAATTATTGTTTTATGATTTCAAAATGTTTTTTAATGATTTCATTCGGAACGTAGTTTATGGCCTAGTTTGTTTTGGCTCCCTAATTTTCATCGAAAATTTTTTCAAGTGATCTTAACTTTTGACAGTTGCATGCCAACTGCCAGCTGTATACAGTTATCATTGAAATTTGTGAAGCAGAACCGTTAAAAGTAATTCAGCAGTCTCTCTTTTTTGTTTCTGAGAGAGTGATGTTCTCAACCTTATGTTTCGGATTGAGAAAATCTATTTCATTGGTTATATGATATGCTAGTCTACACTTTCGATGCGTAAAAATTGATCTTCGTTTCTCATTCCCAAGTTTTCGAAGAATAAATTTTGTAGAACGGGATCTTGCTTTTTGTTTCGATGAAACCCAAGTCAATCTGACCAGGAAGTTTAGTCTAAATTTTTAACAGATAGAGCAGATTCAGGAATTGTATGAACAATGTTATTGAAAAAACTTTGGCCTTAATCATCAAATCTTCGTAATTTGATTCACAATTCGCTCCATTTAGTTTAGGACTCCACTTAGGAAATTTTCAAGTAACTTTGGCCTTAATCATCAAATCTTTGTAATTTGATTCACAATCGGCCCCATCCAGTTTAGGACACCACTTAGGAAATTTTCAAATAAG